CACTAGAACGAGCCCTAAGAAAATGTTTTTAATAATATTGAAAACATTTCATTTATTTTGTTCAAACTATGAAAATTCTTATTTTTCATATTACAAGTCGTGTAAAATTTGTATAATATCAAAACTGTATAATTTATCAATGTGGGATTGACTTGGCCCTAAATGATTCATGTTAATGTTATTTTTGAATGATTATATACAAAAAGTAAATTTGATTTTTTTTTACGCAGTTGTGACGTTGAAGAATATGACGATGAAAGTAGACATGTAAAACATGCTTATCATCAACTTCCGAAATGGTTAACTAGATATACTCCAATTATATTACTAACAGTAACATTTCTACTGTACCAACTATTTATGTGTTTCTGTTGGTATTTGTACGGTTCGTGTCATAAAGATGGTTTACTACTCAAATTGTTTTGTGACGAATGTGAATGTATAGTTTTATATAACAAAGAACAAAGCATGATGAGCCTTAATGAAAGTCGAAATAATTCCAAGTCAAGTCATAGCTATTGAAACAAAAGAATAATTGCCATATATCACATGACTTTTTTCATATACTACAAGAGTATAGCGATTGTTGTTAGTTTACTTAATTCTATTCAATTCTTAGTAATTTGAAATTTACTATCTAAATAATATTAAGATCCGTAAAGAATATCTTACCGACATTGACTGACAAAAAATTTGGTTTAATCAATTGCAACCATACTAGTTAGTTACTTTTTAATTTATATAAATATTTAATTTTTTTTGTGTAAATAAAATAATTTTATAAAATGTTAAAGCTTATATATATATATATAATATGTAATTATGTATTATGAGTAATAAATATTTGGATATGTTTACAGGTACTGTAAAAGAAATTTGAAATAATATTACAATATTAATCATGATTTCTGAACAAGTGACTTCATTCTTATCAAATTCTCAAAGGTAAATTGGAGAAATATGTTAGCAAATGAAATTTATAATACAAAAGGACGTTTCTGGTTGAAATTATTAACATTTCATTTAGTTACCAATAGACTTAAAATAAATCTGTTTTATTAAGACTTAAAATAGATAATTTTCAATTTTTATTTTAATACTAAGTCAACTATAATATATATACATTATATATATTTAAAAAAAATAGACTTCTTTTTTCAACTATTATACTTAACAAGAGGAAATTATACCACTAATTTACATTTATTACAATAAATGACAAAAATAAAAAAGTTCCATATTTAGAACCTTTACATTCAGTGTAAATTAACTAAGTTATTATTTATAACCTCATAGACAGATAAAATATTGTATTATTAAGAATCATTGTAATTTAGTCCACGAAATATGACCACGAAATATTTAATCTCGAAGTACATTTTTCCTAATTAAAATAATAAGATTATACTAATATTTTAATACAGATCTGTATTTAAAATTTTTCAACAGTCAGAGTGACTAATATTAAATTATTTGACTAATTTTTACATAATACAAAGCTTTGTCATGGCTAATAGGAGGAGGAATGGCTGTTTATATAACTATTCGATAATGCGCCAGAGTTTAATGGATATTATTAGGGGTTCAAGTCTGATAGAAATCCTGATTGCAGGATCCATCATAGTAAACTCAATACTATTTTCACTACACAAAATAGCAATGAAAATCATTAATACCTTAAAATGTTGAATCTATAGAAACAAAATATTTGTACATAACAACAGATTTAAACTTAATCAATAGAATCACTTTCTAATGATGTTAAAATCTTGTAAGATAAATGTTAAAACTCATACTTATGGTATCTAAATATGTAATAATGTTTTACCCTCGTCAAGTTTAATTTGACATGTTATACCAATTTTTTTTCTGTGTGTTTTCAATCGTTTTATCAAGTATAGCAGTACATTCTGGAACAAAAATTTACTTTAATAGTATCAGTGAACCCTTAAAAGAAGTAATCGAGGGTAGATTAACAAATATTATTGTAACAGAAAAGTCGGTTAATTCATTTTTGCCAGCTCATACAGAATTTACGAAAAATGTTGAAAGGTCTATCATTTATTCGACAGACTTTGATGGCCAATATGAAACGCAAACATTACCAGTTGTAAATGAAAATTTTATTAGTACAAACCCTATCAATATCGAGTCTCAACAGTATTGTAGTAATAGCTCGTCATGTAACGTAGAAAGTGCAGAACTTTCATCAAGTTATAATTCTTTACCGTCAGAATTTACTACGCAAGTTAATTAGTAAGTTTTTACAGTTTCACATCCCTATATATAAACAAATATTTAGATTTTCGAAAAAAAAAAAACAGAAAAATGAGACGTCGCATATTTGGGACAGTATAGATGATATCTGATAGTGATTAACATCATAAAAGTCGATTAGGCGCGAGTTTGCTTAATTTCAAAATATTTATATTTATAATTTTACTATTACTATGATATAAATTTTCATTCAAATATTAAAGTAATTTTTCTATGAAAATCGCGAATTTTTACGATTTCTTATAGTAGAATACCCGTCAGATAATTTATTTTTTAATATTGTAATTCACATCAAAAACTTTATTTTGATATACGTTAAAATTTGACAGATTTTCTAGAACATTTTCTTCTTATACTTCTTATACTTAGGTTTATCGTCGATTTTCATAAAAAGCATACCAAAAAATAGTTTATTTTCTCTAATGTACTCTATTANAAAAATTGAGTTGAAAAACAAATTTTTTCATGTGGGATGATACTTCTTATACTTAGGTTTATCGTCGATTTTCATAAAAAGCATACCAAAAAATAGTTTATTTTCTCTAATGTACTCTATTAAAATTTCATTAGGACTAGTTTAAGCTTCGATATGAAGCTAAAAAATATAATTAGGATAAAACATATTTAAGTTATCTCGACAAAAAGACAGTATTAATATACATTTTTAACAAATTATAGCCATATTTTTTGTCAAAAAATATCTGACTGACAACTATTGTATACAACTTTTTATTTTTGTATTTGTAATTTATACTAAGAAATTAAAAACGCTCCTTCTTGAACGTACGAAAAAATGTTCTGATCTGATTAAAATAGAGACTTTTAGCCTACTAAAAACAAATCTTAAAAAGATTTTGGTTGGGATTTGTTTCTACCATTTTTACTTGGTTGCCTGGCTTATGTGGGAAATGTTTTCAACTTGATATAATTTGCGATTCTCGTATTGTTTATGTAATTCGCTTCAGAAAAAACCGACTATACTTCGTATAGTCACTAAAAAATAAAATGAAGCTTCGGTAATAGATAAATTATAACGTAGGGTACACATGGTTTTTATTTCACAGTTACGATGACATGTATAAAAGTGATCAATCTTGTAAAAATGGCTTTGATTTATGGACAGAGTGGATCAATTATTTGCCAATAATACTTGTGTGCATAGTTTTATTATTGTATCCTTTAATAAGTTGTTGTTGCTCTCAGAACAATAAATATGCTATGGTAGAAACTAAACATCTCGAAAACTGTGAATGTACTGCTAAATACATTTCAGAAGCACACAAAATGTATAATTTAAAACGCAATACGCTTTAAGTAATTTGTATTTTGTATCCAAAAAATCATATATTAATTAACATAACAGTAATAATATTAGTGACGTTTTTTGAAACTATGAATTCAAATTCAATCCTCAATGGATGAAATTATTTATTTTTGTGTATCCCATTATTATTATATAAAAATATATGATGTCATTTTATTTTTTATCAAATATAAATCAAAAATAATAAATAACCTTAAAACGCTGAAATTTTATTTAAGTTTTTTAATATTTGATGAAATTAATTTATCCACTTCAATAGGTACTATCATTGAATAGGGTTAGTTATAACTTGAAAAACGTTAAAAGAACTTAAAATAATCCAGTGATTATTTTAAATTTATTGAAGTTCTTAGCTCTATAAAATGCTGATGACTTATAGCCAAAGACTATAAATTATTTACAAGAAATACTTGAGTATGTACAGTATAAATGCGAAGCTCATACATTTTTTTTTCAAACATTATCAAAGTAATCTTTTTATAGTTAAAATTGGGAGAATGTCTAAAAGTTTTAACGACATCTTGTTTTTCTCTTTATTAAGATTTAAAACATAAATTCTAAATAGTTATCCAACATTTTTAAAAAACTAAAGAGTAAATAAATAAACTATAAATAATGATTTGATATTCAAATGCAGAAATTCTTATATCAGTGTCCTATATGTCATTCTTCCTTTGTCCGTAATATATCTCAGAAATGAAATGATAAAGCAATCTCAACTATACCAATATTCTTATTAAATGCGTTAAATCTCGTGGTTCACAAAATAACTTATATTGTAGAGATCGAATTTATATACTTTGTTAAGTTATTCCAAATACATCATTGCCCAGTACAAATTTGTATTAATATACTATAAAACTTGTTAATATAACTGGGGTTATAGTGTTAGAATGATTAGGGGATATATTACTTTCTATAACGAAAAATATTTCTACGCTACTAAATATTCAAAAATAAAATTGCACTAACTTGGATTCCTTTAAAATGGCTCAAATAAAATGTATTAACAGAATTCTGAATATATGTAAAAATTAAAATTAGTACTTCTGGTAAAAATAGAATCTACATAGAATAACGATTATTTAAACTATTATTTTACGGTTTATGATTAATCTAAATTTTTCGCAAGATACAAATATATTTATAAACATGTATAGTGGTAGTTATTTTATGTTACATAGTCACAAATCTTCAAAAAACAAAACCTGATTAGAAAAATTAATTCTAATTAAATTAGGACATATCATACAACATTATTTATTACTATTTTAAGATTACACTGTGATAAATGATCTAAAATTCTCAAAAAACTATCATACTGACGTATGATATTTTTAATACACATAAATAATACAATTTTGAAAAAAAGAATCAAAAATTCATACACAAATAAAACATTTTTATTTCTATTTGTCAACATTTTCCCTCATATTGTACGTGTTAAAAACTTCCAGTGCATGTATGTAATTATAGTTAAATATAATTACAGACATAATTAAAATTATACAAATTAAAATATTAAATATATAAAGAGACACATGAAAATCACCAACAAAAATGTTGACATATTAACTTTAAACTCCAAAAAAAAAATTGTAGATGCATGACTACAAGGGTTTTTTACAAACTGCACATCTCTATACGCGTTAATATCTTCGTAGTACATTTCAGATTTTTCACGTTCAGTTGCAAATGTTGGTCCTGTCTTTGTACTAAGTGTTATTGGTTTTTTGGTCCACTTATGAAAACGAAGACCATGTTTTGTTTTATTAGGTTCTTTTCTATCAAAAATATATGTAATCCATGGTGAATAGTAATATAGATGTGTATATTGGAGACACTTGTCTTCTGAAATTTACATAAAATTTATGTTCATTTATTACTAAATCTTCATTCGTTAGATAAATTTTAACAAATATATATTTAATTTAGTTACCTATTTTAAAGATTTTATAAATACTAAATCACTACAAACTTCAGTTTTCATGTCATAGTTTCATTTGCTCATATGTGAATGGATTGAGATAAAATTAATTTAAAAATAAAAATTGATACCAGATACATAAATAAACTTAAAATATTCCATATTATAATAAGGTTTAAATTTCCCAAAATAGAAAAACTGTTAATTTTTTTACGTACGCTGTAGGCTGGTATAATTACAAAAATATTTCTACCAATTCCAAAAAATGGTAGTTAATTATTAAAATGTAATAAAATCTCAAAATTGAAAACTCTTTTATGTAATGCATCATAATAGAATCTTCTGACCAATAGCTATCTTTTTCAAAATTTCGCTGTATTAAAGATTATTTTACTGATGAAAATTTAGTTAGATTTAGGAATTATTGGAAATAGCAATCATGTATTTAGACTAGATGCATCAGGTATACATTTCCTTTCCTTTTAAAAATTTGGTTGAGTTTGGTACATTTTGGCCGACCCCAAGTAGTTGGTATTAAGGCGAAGAAAAATAAGAAGGAGGTTGAATTAGGTTCATATCCAAGGCTAATTTTCCAATTGGGTCAATTCATATCAAATCATCCAGAGTGGTCGCACGACCATTTTAAATTTTTTTGAAATATCACACATGAGTTGCTTAATATTTAAATTTAAAAAAATAGCCAAAAGAACATTTTTTTGGTGAAAGTGGATTTATGACCTATCAAAGTTTTAAAAATGCAAAATACCGGTATTTCGTAAAAATTTTCCTAAAACCTATATATTTATATTTAAGGCTTGAAAATGTTTTCACTTTTTTATTATGAGGTCTTCTAACATGTCAAGTAATTATCAACAGGATTTTTAAATTTTTAATTTATTTTTTAAGTAATTTTGAGAAAGGTTTTTTTGTTTTTGTAAAATAATGACATTTTCAAAATTAAAATTAACGATGAAATACAATTTTTTTAATCAACATTTTTTTACATCATATTAACATTATTCAGTATTATAATTTAATTGTGGATTCATTAATTTAAATTTTACGTATAATTCATTTAAATCGCAAAGCAATAACCTTTTTTGATATCGTTTGCTTGAACCATATATTTTAATCCAAATTTGAAAAGTGATAGATGTAATTTTGTGCACATAAACCAAAGTAGTGTATAAATAGTAATAAATAAGTTTATAATTAACTTTAAATTAAAAATTAATAAATATACAATGTCTAATAAGAAAAGAATATTTAAATATTGAGTTTATGCAACCACTCTGGATGATTTGATATGGATTGACCCAATTGTTTGTATTTTTCTCGAATAATCCGTTTGTCAATTAATAAACTATAATTTTTGAACAAGGTAATATAAAAATAATAATTCTTAATACTTTTTATGTAAAATAATATTTTTTCGAAGAACAAATATAAAATAAATATATTTACCTATTTTTATCAAAATATTTGGATATATTTAAAAATGTACTAATAATTATAAAAACATCTAATATGCGCCTAAATGTTTTGTATATATGTAATTCAAAATTAAATTTCTTACTTAATTTATTAATATTTTTTATAATTTTATTCTTTTTATAAATTTGATAAATTATATACAGAGTGATTTTTTTATCATAACCCACTCAATTACTTACAGAATAATAATAATTAAAACAATTTTTTTTTAATTATTGGATTACAAATATAGGTAGCTAATTGATTTTTTATGACATCGATATTAGCAGATACACAGCATTGTTATTATCAATGATAGTAAGGTACATTGTTGTGAGTTTATAAATACACTAACTGACAATACAAAAAGTATATCTATTGATAGTCATAATTGATAATAAACAATCCGTGACTGTGATAGCAATATCATAAATAACCAATTAGCTACCTGTATTTGTAATCCCTTGTGTATTATACCTATATATTAACTCAAAAATTTGAAACTTTAAATGTTTATATCTAATAAACAAATTAAGTTTTATTAAAAATTCAAATGCCATTTATTATTGAATTAAAAACTCAAACATTTTATTAAATTAAAAATATGTGTTACCATTTAAAAAAACAAAGTTGACACCCTTACCAGGCATAAGGGATGAACTTAAAAAGTATTACATAGTTAATAATTCAAAAATAATGTGTAACTAAAGATAATAATAAAAACAATTTTTTAAATTGTTATTATTCTGTAAGTAATTGTGTGGGTTATGATAAAAAAATCACCCTGTATAATTTTTACCTGTATTATTAAATCCATATAAACCGGCTATGCAATTATCACAAAGTAAAAATCCAGTTTCTGCTAATACTCCTTCTGCTGGTGTGATATTGAAAAACAAATGCTCATATTTACTGTTGAACAATACATAAATTATTACTTGCGTACATTGGTGTACCTATGAGTAGGGTCTTGTGAGATGTTAATCCCTACCATACCTTTTATTTAAGCAATGGCCTAAAATGGTACCTTAAAAGTAACGAGTTAAAAATAATATGCGATTTAATTTATTTCTTTTGCCTTCACTTCAAAAAATAAATTCTAAATCATGCATAGCCATGAGCCAATAATTTACACAGCCAGTATAATTATAGTAGTAATAAAAATAAAAATATACATATAATGTATTAATTGTGATAAAATATTTAATTGATTAATATTTGGGATACTTTTTGTTTAATTATTTTAAGGTTTGCAGTAAATTATAAAGGATGATTCTTTAAATGTTAACCACTCCACTTTATTAGCTTCAAATGAAATAAAATGACAACTTTAACTGAACTAAGTGCATTGCTAGGAGTTCAATATGGTTTAGAGGATTTATTTGTAAATGTACTATACAGGTATTAGCCTTACAGGTGAAAAGAAATGTGTAGTAGAACAAAACTAAAGAATGTAACAAACGCTTTACTAAGTTGCATCTTCTTCAGCAGCGACAAATTCATTTATGTTTTATTCAACTGTACATACGGCTAAAAAAATTATTTTACTGCCTAAAAGTTGGCAAACTAAAATTAAAACAAACCAACATAATATAGAATTTTAAACTAAAAACAATAATTTAAAAAAAATGATGATAAAAAAAGAACTATAAATTTAAAAAATGGTAGCACAGAGTTGTCGTGGCACAGTGTGGATGTGCCATAGTTGAGACAAGTATAGATTGTTATTCTGTAATTGTTGAAAGAAACTTTTCATATTTTAAAAAGTTAACTTTTCAACATGACTTTTGAAAATGTTTTGAAAATCCTGACAACTTTAAATGCATCTTAAATTAACTTATATTATATACTTTATGATAAAAAAAATTGTACTCGGGATTTATCTTCAAGGTGAAAATGGATACCATACTAAAAAAATATACAGTTTTTTTTTATAAAAATAGCCAAATTATTATTTTTAGTTGCAATTTTATATTTTTATAGCTTTTATATCAAGACAAATTTTTTGGGGGTATATGTTATAAATATATTAGCTTCGATGCGAAGCTGAGAAGGTATTAATTTTACTATGATGTGTTTTTTTTTTATGTCTGTTGCCACTTTTTCTCAGCTCTCACTGGACCGATTTCTTTCAACAATACGTCAAAAGATCACAAATCGTATCTAGTTGAAGACATTACCCTTAAAAATTGAAAAATTTTCCCTCGTTCCCCGAAAATGGGGGAAATATCCAAAAAAATTACAAATTTAAAAATCGACAAATTTTGTCATTTTTTTCACTTTTTTTTCTTAAAACTTCCATAACTTTTTCAAAAATCAACAAATCAACATAATTTTTTTTTAAACTAAAACCTTAGATATTTTCCTTTCATNCTTTTTTTTATACTAAAACCTTAGATATTTACCTTTCATTTGATATCACTTAAACTGCTCATTGGGGGGGATTTATAATAGCAAGTTTTTTACAAAAACTATCTTTTTCAGCTTAATTTTTGAAAATGTTCCGGAAAAACTGCGTCCTTCAAACATATATCAAATTAAAGCTTATTTTATGTACTATAAAATGAAAAAAAAAATTTGTCCCGACACTTTATCTTCTACATTTAAACGGCTGTCGTAGTTAAAAAAACACTATTTTTTGTTAAAATTTACGATTTTCGATTTTAAATTTTCAACTTAAAAATGCTATTTTTATTTTGGTCAAATTTTTTTAGCTAGCCTTGATATTAAATAGCCTTTTCATTTTATAGATGGTATTTTTTTCAAGGCAGCTTTTAACAGGTCTGGTAAAATTACATTGCTTTTTTAATATACTTTTTTAAAAACAATTTTCACTTCATGGAGATTGATTATTAAGGTAAATTATATTAAAAACATTTTTGAGATTTTTAAATCTTTGAAAAGTGTATAGCCAGTAAAAATTTACTTTCCTCGCATAAGACATAAAAAGCATTTTGATTATAACTAAGTAGATATTCTTTATGGTTTTTCACCACGAAAATAAGTATAATATTTGTATGATTTTATAATGAAAATAAGATAAACATTTTTTAATCCACGGAGTAAAAAATTGTTCCCAATAAAACATGTTTCCTAACACCCTTTAAGTTAAAACTTAATTTAATTACTTACGTTTCACGTTTTTTAGAATTTTTTTCTTGTTTTTGATTCTTAGTTTCTTTTCCATTAACATAAAAATCCGTAGGTATATATTTAACCATCTCAAAAGAATCCAAAGATGTCTTTACATTTGAACAGCTATCATAAACCTCTTTTTGCAGAGATAATTTACGAGATACAAAAGAATAAGATACAGTGGAATTAGGATAAAGTTCGTATAATGTAGGACAAAAATTAAATGGAGAACTCGATTTTATACTTAACGTTATATTTGAATAATCTTTGGTTATTTTAAGTAAAACAATATCTCCAATGTGTGTATCTGGATCATACTCCGGATGAAATATAACATCAGTTTCAAGATCAATTGGTACACCCACATTTTTACCATTTTCAATCTTATAAACTAACTTTTTAAATAGAAAACAAATTTTAGTTGAAATCGTAGTTAAAAAAATATATTAATGTTTCTTAAAATAAAACTTATTAAATGATAATTGATTAAATAATATACGACATATTACAGTTTACTATTGTAGTATGTTAACTGAGCTAAAACTTAGTTCAAAAACAGGTGCACTCGGATTTTTCCAAGCACGGTCATATAAAGTATGTATTAGTATTAGTTATTATTTTACATTTTTAAGGATTGTATTAAAAAGTTTTTACGCGTTTTGTCTCAGTCAAATGCGGTATATAATTTTTTTCACAATATCTAATCCTTAGATCAATGATACACACTACGTGCGTGACATGGTAAAGACCGAGTGTTTTCTATCACAAAATATAATATAATATAGAATTTATCATAATTTATACATTAAGTTATTAGTAAACCTATAGTAATATAATGGATGCTTTGATAGTTAATAAACATTTAAAGTATTTTTTACGACTTAATTTTAAAGGAAATTATTTATTTATCAATATTATAACTTACTTGGTACACATTTATTATAGGCAGAAGAAAATTGTTACAAACACAGAAAAGAGTAAAATTAAGGCTTTTAAGAATTTTAGACTCTGAAATATAAAATTTCGCGTCAACTGTCAATCATCAAAGAGAAGGCAGTATCATAAAGACCAACACTGTTAGTCTAACCTTAAATTTAATAAATTCGATGCAAAGCAACTAGGTTTGTTAAGAAAAAAATGTTTTCAATTATTTTATTTTTAAACATGTTTTCTCCAGCGATTTTTTAGGTAACTCTTACTAAATTTAACAGTAAACTTTCACAAAATATAGTATTAAATCTTGCATTTTTATAATAACATTACCCCAATTTAAAAGAACTTAGTGTCTAAGCCACAACATAACTTAATTTATTTTTATATTTATGAATTGTATTATAGATAAAGGAAACTAAATTTAATAACCTCAAAAATTTGGTTCAGATTGCGACTATGATGTTGGAAAGTTTTAATTTAAGGATTGTACACAAAAATAAGTTATATATAATAAATATAATTTTGTTTTGTATTTTATAAAAAACAAAAGTATAATAAACCAGATTTAAACTTTTCTTAATTAAGGAAAAAATCTCAAGTATCCAACAAAAAAATAGTTACAATTGATCACGTAAGAATAAACGTTTTTATAATTTTTTGGTAGGCAAGGATACATGTTAAAAATTTCTAGTATTTTTTTAAGAGTTTTGAAAAATGGAGCTATCAATTTTATTTATTTATTTTTTACTTCTGACTTCATTCTTTAATAATAGTAAAATTATTCATTTTATTAAAATAGATAAAATCTCAAAATTAATAAATCTTAAAAAAACCTGGTGCTTATACAAAAGATTTTGAGGTTTAATATTTTTAGTTACTAGTAGTTTTTCATTTCGCATAGATTTTACTTGAAAGCCCTCTTAAAATAAAAAAAAAACAGATGTATTATTTACTTACCCTGATGTCTGTCACATCACTGTCAATTACATGTGCTGCTAACATTGCATAACACATTTTATCAGTTTGTTTACACTTTACAAGACAAGTAAAATATTTTTTTTCGCCGGATTCATATTCTAATGACACTGCAAGTAAATTGTTTGTAGTTTCTGTAAAAGTTCCATTTTCCATTTCCATTTTTATTTCATATTTATTACACTCTCCAACAACATCGCATATATTTCCAATTGAAAAAAATAACAATAAAATTGTAACGTAAATAATTTTATTGAAATCCATATGGGTTCAAAATTTCAGTAAAATAAAGACTACATTTTAACACTTTAACTTAAAATATCATAATTATTATACTTCTTCAGTATTACCCAATAAACTTATTTTTTGTAGATTAAATAAACTATTTTCCATGAAAAAAAACATGCTATAATTTACAAGGTAACTTTGTACAATAATGATTTAAAATAATCAAATTTATGTGAATTAAAAAAAATTATTTTTAAAAAATCAACAATCTCTATTGATTGATTAATAATTTTTGTATGAATATAATAAGAATAAATCTTAATTAAATTATATTGCATTATGTGTAATATTATCAATTACATTTTCTGGTTGCAATAATTAAAATACAACAATTATAGAAATATAAACCTTCTTCAGTCTATTTTAATTTTTTAATATCAAAACTTAAGGTTCATTTCGTGAACTTTTCAACTTTCTCTTTTAAATATTTTAAAAATACTACTTAATTACTATAAATTCATTAAAAAATACCTATTTGTTTTACAACAGTTTTTTTCATCTTATCCTATAGTTGAGAAAATATGAAACAAGTAGCAAATTTTAGGAAAACCCATATTTTTAGTTTCTAAGAAGTTGAAAGAGACAATCGAAAATATGTATGATATTAGGCAAGAAATGTATAAAGCTCTCATGCAAAATTCATTTTTTAAATCCATTTACTGATGTCGAGAAAAATCATAAAAACTCAAGCTTGTCATTTTACCTCAAGTTATTTTACCCATAGGTATGCACGTAATGCGCAGTTATTAGGTTATTTCTAGCTGATAGTTAATTACTTACTGAAAAAAAATGGAAAAAAAATTGGGTACGTCTATTTGCGTTTTTCTAGTGTTACGCAGAAACTTATTATTGATATGCAAAAATAAAAAAAGGAAAAATTGGAATTTTACTTCTCTACTCATCATTTTTGTATGAATGAATTATTTTCTATCATGGACGTTAACAACATACACATCGTAATAATAATATTTATAGAGTTTAATGTAACTAAATTGTAAGATATGTCGTACTCCTGTGAATACTGTAAGCGCTCTCTGGTTTAAGGAGTGCTTTCAATTTGGTATACCAAAGCCAACCTGTAACCACGGAACCGGTCTTTCACGTGTTGTATTATCAATAATAGCCGGTGTCCTTGTTTATTAGTAATTGCCATTCACCTGCTGCCATCACCGCTATCCATTGATATTCACCCCTTCCACGTGGTCTGATTATGTACCGGTGCCGATTGTACGTATTATCGATCAAGGTTTGATATAATTGTCTGTTATTTTCAACCTTTTAACTTGCAAGTTCTATACGTCATACTCATTTCCTATTCGTTCTGCCAATTACTACTCCACATTTCACTTTTGACACTAGCGACCTGTAAGGTTCGACGTGAAACCTTCCTCTCTCTTTCTATATCCGACCTCGTGACTGAAAGGTATGATGTTGTCAAAAATATTCATTTTTGATTTTTAATTTTTAGTAATAATTTTTGTTTGATCATGCCGATCATTAAATAAATAATAAAATAATTTTTTCTATGCTGTTATTATTTTTAAATTTCTGATTTGTATTTTTTTTTTTAGATAATTCAAGTTATTTATCTATTATTTTGAAAATGGAAAGCTACCATAAAATGGAATCATCTGCTGTTCAAACTCTCCGGGACTTGGCTAACAAGCTTAGAATTAATTCTATTGTTGCCACAAATGCTTCAAAATCTGGGTATGATATATTTAATTATAAGATTTCAACTTTAACTCCATTATAAATGCTTAAGATATTTTGCTTAGTTTTAATCATATTCATATAGAAACTTATTTAGATAAAGAATATTAGATATTTATCTAAATTGGCATTTTTTTTTTTTTATGGATGTTAATATTTTGTATAACCAATTTTCTGTTAATGAATAAAGTGAACCGGTTATAAAATATTATTAGTTCTATTTCTAAAATTCTAATTCCACACAATTTACTATATTAAAAAGTATGCTCTCTTAATAAATTATGAAATTTAGTTATTGTGTATAAACTTTATTTTCTTGAATATTTACAAAAAACTAAAAAGAAAATTGTTTTTGATCTTAAAAAAAAATGTTGGTAGAATGGGTCAAATATAAGTTTCTAAATTTCTATATTAGTCGCTAGTTTATTACAGAGGGTCAACTTTATTTTTTTCAATGGCAACATACATATTAAACTAGCTTATAAAATAGAAAATCGCTGATCGATAACAACTTTTGAACTAGTACTTCAGAAATTATTCTCATTTTCATACTTAGACGAGAGGAAGAATATGACTGAAAAATGATAGGTGTTAAAAATAACATCACTGAATCCTCACCTCCAGTCATAACTTTAAATTTTTAATAACTTCTGAAATACTGGTCCAAAAATTGTTATCGACCAATTATTTTCTTAATTAGATCATTTCCTATTTTATAAGCTATTTTAATATAAATGTTGCCATTTAAAATAATAAAGTTGACACCCTTATAAGATGTAAGTGATAAAACTAAAAATTATTTTATGACAGATAAATTGAAATACATATGTAACTAACAAAAATTTTTTTTTTAAAAACTTAATATTTAAAAAATATTTAAGTGGCTAGCGTTAAAAGAATTACTCTGTATTTATTCATTCTAACTAAAAACTTTGTAATTGAATGACCTTTTTTACTGTTGAAAATACTGCATATTCTCTGTGTAATTATGTTTTATCAATACTGTTCATGAATTTGCAATTCTCCTCATATTATATCCCTACTTTTTTATCCATATTATTTGTTGAGAATATTTTTATTTATAATTTATATATTCATATGATTTTTAAGTCTGATAAAAAAAAAAATAGTTATTAAAATTCTAATATCTAATTCTAATTTTTTTCAATAACTAATAAGTTAAACTACTACTTGTAATATGTAAACTAATTTATGTATAAATTAATTAACTTCAAAATTCATCTTTTGCTCATTATATTAGACATAGTTAAAAAAAATAAAAAGATAAACATATTTATAACAATGTTGATAAGCAATACATCTAATTTAATTAATTATTTTAGACTACTAATTACAGATTATCTAATGTATCAAATTTAATTTATTATTTATACAGAAATTTAATTATATATATGAATGATTTCTTTATTGTTGTAGTATTTTATATTCACATCTTGCAATGTGTTTAGATTATATTAAAAATTGATATAAATTTGAACTATAAAAAAATAAAGAGTCAAAATCTTGAATATGTTAAAGATATTGTTAAGTTATATTTATTATACAGAGTGATAACTTTAATACCCCACATAAAATATTTTTTAAATATAAGAGCTAATGATTTTTTTTTGCTATAATAATGATTTATTGATGAGCTACTCTATGAGAAAAATAAAATTTCTTTTATCCCATATGCCTTGAACTATCATTAACTTTTATTATTTTAATGATAACACTAGAATTAGAAAATTATTGTAAGATAAATATTGTATACTTACTCGAGATTTGAAGTTTATACCTTCTCGCAGATTTATACTTTGAGATCATGTTAATACATTTTTACTAAAAATATCCTTATTATACAGGGTGTTTCAGACTTTACTGACATCATATATGACTTGATACAATTATTATTTTGTTTAAATACAAATTTAAACAATTTTTTTTATAATTATAACCTTTTATAAAATAAGTATGAACATATTCTTACCACTAATAAGACTAAAAACTTTTTTATTTTTTCAAAATTTTAAAATAGGCATTTTAACCTTTTTTTGTACAAAAATGTTTAATTGGTTGATGACAAATTTAAAACAAATACTTATTGAGTTACAAGTTGTGATTTTACAAATTCTGTAGAACCAACTTTAAATTTTTCAGTCAAACCCATACTGAGGTTTGAATTTAAGCACTTCTATAGCTTTGAACCTAAAGCTATAACAGTTTATTGACTTTTTAATGTGATTGTATAATGAGTTATATGGGTCATTATAAAAAAATTACTATTGCAAAAAAAAAAATAGTAAAATATGGATTCCTTTACAAATAAAAAATTGCTTCAAGTATCTATTATAATTTGTAAGTGTATAGAGTACATCTGTATCAGAAAATGTATAATTTAGTTTTCAATAAATAAATGCTATTGTTAATTCTAAAATTACATTTATAAATTCTTTAGTTAAAAAAAAAATTTTGTTGAGCAATTTTGATTTTTAACAGACATCCAACATCATGTGCTTCAATGGCCGAAATAATGTCTGTTCTTTTCTTCCACACAATGCGTTATAAGGTCTCAAACCCAAAGGATGCATCTAATGACCGATTCATATTGTCCAAAGGTCATGCAGCTCCAATTTTGTATGCAGGTAAAATGAACCAATTCATACTTCTTAAAATGTACAATTTTTAATTCAAATTAATATAAGAGTTTAATAAAAATATCAATGATAAAAAATATATTTTTTTATTGAAGTGACCTAAAATATTTTATTTATTATAGCATGGGCCGAAGCGGGTCTATTTCCAGTGTCTGAATTAACAAACTTGAGAAAAATTGATAGTGATTTGGAAGGTCATCCTACTCCTCGCTTAAATTTCATTGATGTTGGTACTGGCTCTTTAGGTCAAGGTATTTCAGTTGCTTGTGGAATGGCTTATGTTGGAAAATACTATGATAAATCGTCTTACAGGTATATAACATTGAAAAAAAATATTTAAATAAAAATAATTTATTTCGTTATTATTTAAATAGAACATTTTGTGTATTGGGTGATGGTGAGAGTGCTGAGGGTTCAGTCTGGGAAGCCTTAAACTTTGCATCATTCTACAAACTTGATAATTTAGTAGTTATTTTTGATATTAATCGTTTGGGTCAATCTGGACCTGCACCATTACAACATGACATGGAAACTTATAGACAAAGATTGACATCTTTTGGTTTTAATGCTATTGTTGTTGATGGACATGACATTGAAGAATTGGCCAAAGTAATATTTTAATTGGCCATAAATGTATATCATTTAAATTATCTTAATTTATTTGTAGGCTTTCCATGAAGCTTCAATTACTAAAGGAAAACCGACTGCTATTTTAGCTAAAACATTCAAAGGTAAAGGTTTTCCTAATATTGAAGATCTTGAAAAATGGCATGGAACACCACTCAATGACAAAGCTGTATCTGTTTTGGAGGTATACAAATTTTATATTTTTATTTAATAATTTTATGGTATTTTTACTTTTTTTATTTTAGGAAATTAATGGTCAAATCAGAAATAAAAAATTGCCTGTCAACATTCCAAAACCTATCCAAGATGCTCCTACTATCAACATAAGTAATGTAAAATTATCCACTCCACCAGCTTACAAACTAGGAGAAAAAATAGCTACTCGTTTGGCTTATGGTACAGCATTGGCCAAGGTTGCTGCCAATAACAATAGAGTTATTTCCTTAGATGCTGATACAAAAAATTCAACATTCTCTGATAAAATTAAAGTTGTATGTATACTTATACTAGTAAGTTTTTCAATATTCATCATTAATTTTGATTTATTTTCAGCAATTTCCAGAGCGACATATTGAGTGTTTTATAGCTGAACAGAATATGGTTGGTACAGCTATTGGAGCTGCTTGCAGAGATAGAACAATTGCATTTGTATCCACTTTTGCTACTTTCTTCACCAGAGCTTTTGATCAAGTATAAAATATAATATTATAATGTTGATAGATTTTTTTCTAAACATTTTTATTTATATTTAGATACGTATGGGTGCCATTTCTCAAAGTAATGTTAATTTTGTTGGATCACATTGTGGTATTAGTATCGGTGAAGATGGACCAAGCCAGATGGGTTTGGAAGACATAGCATTATTTAGAAGTATTCCAGGTAATAAATCAAATAAATTAACTTGTCTGCATCTACAATTTTTTTAAATTTTAATAAATTAATACAACTAATTTATACTTTCAAAATGTAATATTTTCTAATATATTGTTTCATTATAAATACTTAAAGAAAAGTAACTTATTGTCATGTATTGTTCTCAGGTTCAACCGTTTTCTATCCAGCAGATGCTGTGGCCACTGAAAGATCTGTAGAATTAGCTGCTAACACTAAAGGTATTTGTTTTATACGTACATCTAGGCCAGCTACAGCAGTTATTTACAAAAATGATGAGTCATTCCAAGTATGTATTTTATTTTTTATTAATTATAATAACTATAAGTTACTATAAAATATTTTAATTATTAAAATTAAAATATTTAAATTTATTAGATTGGTAAAGCCAAAGTTGTTAAAAGCTCTCCATCAGATCAAGTACTTGTTATTGGTGCTGGTGTTACACTTTATGAAGCTTTGAATGCAGCTGAAGAATTAAGTAAATCAGGTGTCAGTGTTCGTGTTCTTGATCCATTTACTATCAAACCATTGGATGCTCAAACCATTATCAGTAATGCCAGAGAGTGCGGTGGAAAAATTATAACTGTTGAAGATCACTATCCAGAAGGTTAAGATTAAAAAATAAGTAAAAAAATTTTTTTATTTTGAAAAATTTTGTTTTAGGTGGTCTTGGTGAAGCAGTCTTATCAGCTGTTGCTGAAGAACGAGACATTGCAGTAAAAAAACTGGCAGTTACTGACATTCCACGTTCAGGTCCTCCAACAGTGTTACTAGATCTATTTGGAATCAGTGCTAAAAATATAGTAGCTGCAGTAAAAAAATTTGCATGATTTTTAAAACCCAAAATTATTTTGTTAATTCATTTTCATATTGGATATAGTTGGTCAATGTTGAATTTTAGTGTATTATTTATTGCATATACTAAGCTTTTAGTTTTTATTAATATATTTTTATGGAAAATTTTATACTGTTATTAAGTTAACTGCACAAAAAAATTCTTTTTCACTTCAAATTTTAATTTAATGTTTCATTTTGTATTATGAAATATACTAAAATATTATAAAAAAAAATTATCTTGTTTTTTTTTCAATAGTACTCAACTAAATTTTAATATATAATGAAAATGAAAGACAATTAATATTATAAATAAATATTTATTTATTTCTTTAGAGATATTAAAATCAATCTATTACATCAGAATTTTAGAGATGCCATCAACACATTTATTTCTATCTAAAAAAAAAAATATTACTATATAAAATATTTTTTGTAATGATAATCAAAAAATATTTTATTTAGATTCTTTATATTATAAGTTACCAGTAAAGCATTTAAAAAATGCTAATAAGTTTTTGAATACTATTATGCTTAATTAGTATTCAATGAAATATTTGGCTTTTGATCTTAACCAATTGGCAATCCAAAAAATAAAAAAAATAATGAACATGGTTAATAAATATAGTGAATTATACATTGAAAGCATTTATTAAAAATATACCTGCAATAGTTTCTAAAGGTAACAATAATCTCTTATGTACATAGTTAATACTTAATATTAAACATGGCCTCATTATTCTTTAATAATTAAACATTCAAAATGTATAAAAACTAAAATATTTTCCAAAACTGGTACATAGAGGTACTTTTAAAATTCATACAATTTATATTAGTTATAAAAGACTTGGAAATTATGTATATATTTATAACAAAGAAAAAATTAATACAATTATACCATACAAAAATGAAACTCACAAAATTAGAATAATAATATTACACTACAATTTTGTGATTACTTGAATCAAATGACTTCAGCAGCACATTTTCTTAAAAATTTTTACTATTTAATAAGTATCAAGTTACATATATTTTAAATTGAGAAAATATCACTTTTAAATTCGTAAAAACTTTGAGTATCAAATTCATGTTTATCAAATAATATATTTGTATACATAAAACAAAAATATCAACAATATATAAAAAATTTCATGTAAGACTGATAATAATACCAAATTTTACAAGTAAATCATTATTTACTACAATAACAAACATTAGTTTTTAGGAAGATATATTTATATATATATATATTTTATAATACTCGTTACTTATTTTTATTTTAAAATAAAAATTAAAAATCTATATAATATACTTTTTACTCATATACAACAATCTCTGTTTGGTAATATTTTAGTATAAAAATACATCAATAATTAGATAAACATTTTTTTAAATAAATATGTTTACATATATATTTATAAAAAACAAGTCTTATAAAAATGTTTGAGTATATACTTACATCTTGTCTTTTTGATGATTTAAGTTAATAAAAAGAAAGCTTATAAAAATAGGGTAAAATAAAGTTTACTCTAAAAACTATAGTTATCACTTTAGTTTAAGATTATTTGAAGTATCATCTAAGTAAAAATTACTCATTTTTAAAAGAAAAATAACAAATATAATAGTAAATAATTATCAATAATAAAAATACAAAATCATGGCGTATTTGAGCAACGATTTTTGGAGACAAGAAATATTTCATTGGAGAAATATATCTTAAATGTGATGAAAGTGAAAAAAACTATAAAATGTGTTGAAGTGTAAAGTTAAACAAAATTGTAATTTACACGTAAATACTAATAGCATACTTCAAAAATTACAATTACACATCTTCTTTTTTTTATGCAAAATAAAAAATTTAAGTTAAATACAGAGAAATCACCTTTCAATTCGTTCTATTAATTAATTCATAGCAGTCATTTTTTCTATTTCTTTTCGTCGACAATATCTTTGAACATAAGGTATTGAAAACAGCATGATTCCACTTACAGCAATGTTTATACCACTCAAACAAAACGCAGGGTCATAAGATTTTGTTTTATCATACAATAATCCTAAAAATGTTTAATTGAAAAATAATATTTATTCATGGTAAATTAAAAGCAAAATATTTGTTATTTACCTCCAAGTGGGGGTCCAATAAGAGAGGCAATCCCTTGGAAAAGAAGTAAAACACCGAATGCATTAGTCAATTTATCAAGACCTAAAAGATCGACCAAAATAACAGATGTAAGACCAACATATGCTCCAATAGTAAAACCAAATACCGAGGCATATATAGAAAATGTAATTAAGTCGACACAATAAACACTTAAGATAGTTGCTGTAAAAAAAAAAAATAACACTTATATTTTCTGAACAACAAAAAATATTCCATAATAACAACATACCAACACCACAAATTGTAAGACATAGATTGTATACCATCAACCGATTGACCCATGGTTTATCAGAAATGAATCCCAATACAATCCTTCCAAGAGTGTTAGCAGCACCCACGACAGATAATAGGTATTCAGGTTTTGAAACTTTAAAAGTTTCTGCTTGAGGCTGAAAAATGTTATATACTAATTATGTATAGAAATATTATGTGAATAAATTATATTTCTTAAAAAAAAAATCAACTAAATTAAAATATGATTTAAATTTGTCAAAAAATTGATTTGAGAAAATAAACAATAATCAATTCAATTATGAAAATTTTTCGATATTAGTCTAGCCAACAAAAAGAGGTAAGTACATTAAAAAGGATTTTTGAAGATCTTCATTTAAAATTTTATATTATCAAAAGAGTTAATGATAATTCAATATTTTAAACTACAAAATTTTATTTTACAACAAAATGGTAAAATCAAAGTTAACTTTTATGTACAATATGTAGCTTTTATGTACAAAAGAACCTCAATTTTATGCTCAACTCAACTCATAAACTCATTTTTTTGTCAAAAATGTCACTTATCTCTTTTATGCCCTAAATCTAGACTGATGAATACTAAATAAATTGTATTACTATAATTATTGATTTAATATCTAATGTTTTTGTGTACTTACTGATAGAAAGACGTATGGTATGTTAAAACCAATACTAGTAAGAAAATTTGAAATAGTGAACAATATAAAAATAGGATCTTTTAACAATGAAAGATCAAGCATTTGTTTAATGGTGTCTACTGCATCAGGAGGGCAACAGATACCTGATGATTTTTCATGTTCAAAGTGAGCACCATGTTCTGTATGTACACCAGTTGTAGATTGTGAAACAGTTCTACAAATCAATATAAGTGGGTTAATAATGATTAAATAAAAAAAATTCAATAATTTATAACAAACATTCCTGATTAAATTTAAACAATTTTGAAACAAAAACTCACAATATTTTACATACCCTAATTCACAAATGATTAAATAAATAAATTACATATATAACAAGATAAATTCAAATTATTTAATAAAGATCATAAATAAAAACAATTTCTCTATCTACATAAAAATGGTACTTTTTTTTTCAGTATATAGAAGTTAATTATTGGGACAATTATTGAAACTTTTAATATTTTACAAGTGGATTAATTATATATATAAATATATATATACCAAGAAAGAGTAAAGAATTTACAGATAATTTTTAATGAAAAAAGATTGATTTCACAAAACATGGGCAAAAAAAACACATATTTAGTTTTAAGTTTAACCAATCTGTCTTTATACCTATGTATAATTACATAGGAATAAAGACAGATTTTCAAAACAAAAATATTTGGATAAAAAATAAATGTTTAAATAGAACATTTCCTAGAAAAATCTTTTTAAAATATTACTCTATTAAAATAAAAAAATTTTTTTGTTACGACTTTTTAAAGGGTGAAGTTTTAAATAAAATCTAGACCTAAAACAGCTGTAGTCAATAACATAAATTTAGTAGCTATTATATTATTTCTAGCATGATAACAACACACAAAAAAAGGATAACATCTTTAAGGGATTCAGAAATTTAATCACACTATATTAATTTTAAATTACAGACGAGATTATGACAGATGGTTTTAATTAGAGTTAGAGCAGTGAGCAAAGCTTTATATCAGCCCACTCACGTTTTCAGGAATGGTTGTAAATAACCTAAGCAACTATTTATAAAAAAGCACCTCCTGCGATTTTCTGAAACATTTTTTATGCTTCCACTGTAAAATATGTCTTTTTGATACATAATACCATGCGGCATAGGCTTCAGAGTTGTTTGACTAGCGTAACATACGTCATTACGCTGTAGATTCAGGTGATTGTTGGAACCAGTGCGACCACTGGTCACAATAAGCTCGGGTTGACTAAGNCATAACATACGTCATTACGCTGTAGATTCAGGTGATTGTTGGAACCAGTGCGACCACTGGTCACAATAAGCTCGGGTTGACTAAGAGTAAATCTAGACATAGGAGACTTTTTGTCTAAGTCATTGCCGAACGTGTTGGTGTTTACTTCATTTGATAGAATCATATTCTGTGAGATCTTTCGGTCATCAAACTTGTGTGTGTCGTCAAATGATTGTAAACTTCCACAGTTATTACCCCCATTGTTTAAAGGTTGACATTCCGGCTCAACTATATTGAGGACTACAGTGGCATTTTCACTCGTGACTTCTTCAGTATCAAGCGGCCTAAACAGCAGTCCAAAAAGAGTACATAATGATACCAGTCCAGCTATAACCAAAACTGTAGCTTGCCAACCATTGTTAGTTATTAAGTCAGCAACTAGAGGAGAAAATATAAAAGTTCCCAACCCTGAACCACAGACAGCAATACCAGTGGCTAAAGAACGGTATTTTTCAAAATAGCAAGTAACGCTTACGATGGCCGGTAAGTAAATCATACCAAATCCCAAACCTAAGACAAAAATCATACAGTTTATGATTAGGGAAAATTATAACAACAATTTATATATATTGTTTAGTATATAGAATATATATTTACAGAGCTTAGGGTTAGTAGCTTAAGCTAACATAACTAATATTCGGTTTAAACTAATATTCATTGAGAATCTTGGATATAACACAACATAGCAACAAGGTTTTTGAAGAAATATATTTATTAAGAACTCAACTATAATGCAGAGTCAGGCTAAGGACTCTACAATAAATAATTTTTAACACTTTCTTAAATCTCTCCAAAACATCATTTTTTTGATAAACATTTTTTATAAATACAATTTTACTACATAAAGCAAATTTTTTTATCTGATTGTATTTTAAAGTTAATATCTGTGATTAGAATCTAAAACCTGATTGTACATAAATGGGTTTTTGAGATTTTTTATTAAATATTTAGACCATTTTTTATTACATTTGCCAAAAATTTATACAAAATTTTAACGAGAAGGTTAGTTTTTTGTTTTGTTCTCCTAAAAAATGCTAAAAAACATGACAATTTTTGGAAAATAACCATAAATGTATTCACTTCAATAAACAAAACTAGTAAAAATACTTATGATCTCATATATCATATGTATAAGAGGTCTGTTCAGAAAATAATAGAATTTTCGTTATTTGAAAAAAATATTTATTTATTCGTCTACATTAATGTTGTAGTCTTCAAAAAAGTCCCCATTAGATATTATCCACTTGTGCTAACGCTTCTTCAAATCCTCGAAACACTTCTCAAATTCGATCTTTGGGATAGCCTAAAGCTCATTCAGCAATGCGCTTTTAATGTCATCTATGCTTGTAAAACGACGGTCCTTTAAGGTTCTCTTTATTTTTTGAAATAGAAAAAAGTCACACGGAGCCATGTCTGGCGAATATGAAGGCTGGGGCATCGTTACAGTATTATTTGACAAAAAATTCACGAAAAAGCAATAAAATGTCAGCAGGTACATTATCCTGGTGTAAGTCATGAATTGTTTTGCCACAAATCCGGGCATTTTTTTCGAATTACTCCAAGCAAACGGCGTTGAACTTGTAGGTAATACTCTTTATTGACTGTTTTCCTCGTGACAAAAATTTATGATGCACTATGCCATTAAAATTGAGGAACAAAGTGAGCATAACCTTCAAGTCCCATCACACTTGTTGAGCCTTTTTCGGTCTTGACGATCTTACTACGATACCTTCACTAGGACGATTAAGCCTTAGTTTTGACGTCGTATCCATAAACCTATGTTTTGTCACGTGTTAAACATGTTTCAGTAATTTTGCATCATCGTTGACTTCATTAAGTGACTCCTGAGGAACTTCCATTTGTCACTGTTTATGTTCAAAATTCAACAATTTTGGAACAATTTTTACTGCTATGCTTTTCATATCCAAAACATTCAAACAATTTTTATGGCGTGAGCCAATAGATATTCTATCATCATCAGCCGACTTCTCTGATTGTGATTCGGCGATCGTTCATAACCATTTCTTTCACTTTTTCCACATTTTCATCGCTGGGTTGGGTTGGGTTTGTCATCTTCAACGTATTCATGGGCATTCTGAAAATGCTTATACCACTCAAAAACCTTTGTTTTACTCATGGCAGACTCACCATAGGCCTTGTTAATATTTCACACATATTGTTCCTTTTTATTTCATTTTTTACGCAAAATTTGATACAAATCCTTTGATTCATTTTTTTTTAACAAATAAAAATCGCCGAGCTCTAAACTTAGCGGCTGTCACTGACAAAGTAAATTACCAACTGAAAATATTATCATACTTCAGGGATATGTGTACCAACATTATTAAAGAAAAATTTAGATAATGGAACTCGCCAAACCCGCGAAATTAAAAAATTCCCATTATTTTCTAAACACACCTAGTATGTATATGAGATCTTATGTAAATTAGTCTGACCAGTTTCAGTAAAATAATTATAACTAGGTTGGGTAAATTATAATATCTCACAAACTTTTAAAAAATAATCTGTTGTACCAACTCTAACAACTAAAAATTATGAAAGGTAATGGAAAACTATTTTAAGAATATAAAATCTGAACTAAATGATTATAATGAGTACATATAAATAATGATACTACCAAAATATGTACTTTTTGTTTTTGTTACTTCTATTTAAAATATTTTTAGTGTTATTATATGTTTTGAAGAAATAGTTTTTGATAATCATTTAAAATTAATGTTTTTAATATAATTTTAAATTAGCCACAAGTGATCAATTATTATTTTTATTATTTGAACATCATTTTTTTTTTTTTTTAAATAAAACAAAAATTATACCTTTTTTAAATAAAAATTTATTACTTTTTATATTAATTAAAATATTTTTTTAGTTGAAAAACTTTTTTAGATTCTTATGTTGAACAAAATAAATTAAAATTTAGAAAAATATCTTGTCCTCATTTTAAAAAAATGTATTTTATTAAAATTGTATATATAATTCAAATTAAAAGTATAGAGTCCTGTCTTTTTTTTATCATTTTCAGTAAAAATTAAAATTTTAAATAAGTTGTGAGTCGTAGTTATAACATATGGGATATTACAAGTGTAGGGCAAAAATATCGATAGATCAATACCAAAATAGAATTTTAATGTTTAGATAAATCGTAATATTCAAATGATCATAATTCAAAATACTTTTTTTGTGTATTTTCAAATGTTATGTCACTATGGAGTAATATTAAGTATACTCGTAAAAAAATCTATTAGTGGTACACAATTATTTCATTATCAAATACTTACACTCGAAAGTGTAATATCTGAATGTTGAAAACAAAATCAATTGGTAGTTAGCACTCTGAAGTTTAGGTAAAAGATCGAGCTATTTTTTAAATTAAATATTAAAAAATTTTGTTATTAGCATAACGATTTAGTTATAAAAATGATATTAATATCATTTAAATCTGAAAATTTTTAAAATTTTATTTTACATTAACAATTTTAAGAAATTAAATGAGTATGATTTCCGTATTAAAAACTATTTTTTATACATTTATTTATATTCTCTAATAATTTACTCAAAACTAATATACGAATAAAAATTGTAAATTTGATGTATTACTACTGTTCTCTAATATTGAACGCTCAACATTCTATTTGAATAACCTGTCGTTGATTGTAGTGTTAATGATAATATTGTAATTTAATTTTAATAAAAATGTTTGTATTGATTAAAATAACGCGTGATACGTACAATTTTTTTTTTAGTTGAAACGAACTATTCCAAAAACTTTGTAATCATAAGGATATTTATTGTTTTTGCATAGCTTTAAAAATGTAGAAAAGCTTCACCCTTCCCGTAAATACATCATCAATTAAACAACTAGTTGAACTTTTTTAATTTTATAGCAATTAAAAAAAATGAAAATTCGCTATTCATTTCCTTCAATAATAAACATGTAATAAAACTATCGCTCTTAAAAACTGTACCTATAATAATTTAATTGATTATTCTTGTCATAACATAGAATATGTGAGAACCACAGTAACAAAGATTTTTTAAAAAATACTTTTAAGTACTAATAAATCAGTAAATTTACTAGGAACAAAATATTATTATTTGTTAATAGGGATAAATTATCATTAATCGTAAATTATAATAACAATAATTTATTTTGGAATTGAGAGTAAAAAACCAAGCTGCTTAAATAATAACCATATTATAAGTAATAAGTACATTTTTCTAACTGTGTGTGTTATACTACAAAACAATTATTTTCACAAAATAATTATACAAATAAAACAACCTAAAAAGTTTAGTACTACTTTAACAATTTATCTTTTTATACGTTAAATGTTAATTACATTAAAAAAAAATCGTTTTTGCAGTATTTTTTTCTAAATCAACCATTGACTAAGATCATTAAACATTCTATACTAATCTATCATTTCAAACTAACATATGGCAATATATAATAAAAAATAAATAGAGGCAAAATAATAAATTTATTTGAACAATATGACATATTGTACTCATTAGTCTCAGTGTACACTGTGTTAGTAAAATTCTAATCTACGGTGACAACCGTAACTGCATAATTATTATATTCATAAGACAATTTCAGTAAATTTTTATTAATTTAAAATAAAAACTACAACTAATAAAAATACAAAAATACTAATGATTTACATTGATAACGAGATTTAGTGAACATCTAAAATAAGTGGATTTTGTCAAATGTTAATATTGTAATAAATCAATGTAACTACAAAAGTACTGATTACATATTATAAATATTCAATAAAAAGAGAAAAAATCTCCTTTTCAAAGTAATATTACATGTGTCAGAAATACAATTAATGGAAATAATATAAAAGTTGCTCATTGTCAGTAAAAAATAGTATTCATATACGTTCTAAATTTATAGAAGTATTTGCCCCCCAATTAATTCAATATTGATATTTAAATACTGCATTCTTAGATAAAGCTTAAGTTATACTGGCCATATTTCATGGTCGATTATGCAGTAAAATGCATAATGACATATAGAGATAAATGGCCATCATTAAAATAGTTTCTATAGCACAATGTCGTTTCTAAAATTAATCATTTTAGCATAATCTATTGCATAACATATATATTTATGTAATAAAATATAATAAATAAATAATTGCAACATGAATCAAAATTTTTATTTCCTACATGAAATCCTATTTTTATTAAATAAAGTTTATTTATTAATAATTCATAAATAATAATAATAATATAATAGTTATTATCTTAAATCCAAACAATAGAATTTATATTAATATTATTTAATTTCTTAAGTTGATTATTTTATGTTGATACGCTAAAGTCGATAGTCTAATATTGAAATGTTTATTGCGCTTTGAAAATATTAAGCACACATTTAACTCCAACAATAAATTTAAAATAAAAGCGTTTACGTGTTTACACTTTACAGCATTTTAGAAATACAACAAAACAGAAAAAAAACTTTTATAGTTGCACAAACGAATAATCCTCATTTTATAACCTTAATAAAATTTATTAGTATAAATTATGGATTGAGAAATATTAAATAATAATAAAGATGTTTCTATGGGTGCTTTTATTTGTATAATTTTAGTGCAAAAACTAATTGTAAAATATTCAAAAGAAGAGATTTTATTCATATGTCCATTGAAAATTGGTCGTACAAAATATTAATAATGTTTTTACCGCACGTCAAGGTATAAGAAAAATGTAAATTATTTTTTGTTCATTATTATTTGGTGTTTTGATTAATAATATATCAGAGCATGTGTTATTACAAAAGTTAATACTAACTCCTACTTAAAATAATATGTACATTAAATAGTAGACATTTTGGAAAATGTATTGACTTCTTTTAGAAAAATATCATTAAAAGTGTTGATATTTAATTCATTTTCGTATGTTTATTCTAAAAATATATACAAAACTTTGTTTGTTTACGTCTATAGAGTGATTCTTATGTACTAGCCATTCAATTTTTTTTAAAATAATCATTATTTTGTGAATTTTTTTTTGCTTTTGTTAGTTTCATATATCTTTATCTCTAATACCTTATGAGGATGTCATTTAATTTTTTCAAATAGCAACATATAATTAACTAGGTAGCTAATCTATTAGATAATTAATTAATTAGATAATCCAATTAAGAATAGGACTAGTCGATAATAACTTCAATAATAACTATAATAAGCTAGTTAAATATGTATGTTACTATTTAAAAATAAAGCTGATACCTCTATGAGATACAAGGGATGAACATCAAAATCATTTTCAAATAGATAAATGGAAATATATATATATATATATAATTAATAGAAGTTTAAATTAGTTTTAAAAAAGTACAGTTGTCATTTTAATAACCGATTAATTTTTTTTTATTCTTAAAACCTTTTTTAAATGATATTCTCATTTTTTTTAACTTTTCATGTTTACAGTTTTACACAACTACTTACAAGTACACATACAAATAAATAAACTGTGTATGTGGTTATTGATAAATAAAATCTGTAATGAAATTTTATAACATAAAGATAACAACAGCTATTTGGCTATAATGAAACGGTTTTGTTGAGTTATTAATTACTGCACCGATTAAGTTGAACGACACTTCCACTGTTGGGGCCGCGTGTTTATAGTCGATTGAGGAACATTCAAATATTTTAGCTATATGACACTATAATAGCATTAGTATGCAGTGTTAAGTAATACATAAGGTTTTATTAGTCCTCAAAGCAAAATTTTACAAACGACTATCAAAGACCTCTAATTGAAAAGTATTTAAATATTAATAACATATAATTATTGGTTATTATACCTAAGTTTACATTTTAATTAGAGATAATGATATTTTAGCCAAATAACAGATCTGTAAAACTAATGATCTGTGAATTGTACAAAGCGTTTAAGAATATTTGAACATTCATATGTATAATTACAATGTATCAGTAAAAAAATTGGATGTTCAAGGTTAAGATTGAATTCGCGTGCATAGCATACAGATAGTTAATTGCACCATTTACTACTATCACACGTGTTGAATTTAAGTTAATAATGAATAAATTATTGTAACTATTAAACTTTGAGTTACAAATCGTTTTTATTTTACATAGAAAAAACAAGTAATAAATTTTATTTTCTCGTTCCTACTACTAAAAATTTACACCTATAACTGTTAATAATTCACATCTATAAAGCGGATAAAATGTTTGTAAATGAGAATATAAAATCGGTTATCTGTGGTTAAATTTTTCTAAATTCAAATAAAATTTTGAAAATAACAATCGACCAAAAATGAGCAATGATACAGCTTTTACAAAATACTAGAAGTATCAATTTTTTAATGAACTATAATGAAGATGTAAAATAATCAAATGGCTTAAAGGAAAAATTACATTTACATTAATGTATAAATTCATTTTGTTTTCCAGGAGATATGACGTTCAATTGTAATTTTTTCATTTTAACTAAAACTCGATATTATTAATAATTAATATTGATAAAAAATTTATTTAACAAAAAGATTTTTTTAAAAACAATAGTAAAAACAGTAGTTTTACCAATATTACCTACTATTACTATTTTTTTTTATATAGAATTTATGTTTACTGTAACTAGAATACTTGTTTTTAGCATTTTGGATATTCAAATTCTTTTTTTTATTTTGTATTACCACCAACAATGCTATCGAACATTTCTTTTTTTATAATAAGTCAAAATTCAATGTTTACACATATTGTAATTGATTGCATGCTATTATCATACACTAAATATATAAGATAAAAAAATACTTAATGCCGCCCTCAGAAAATAATTTCTTAGGAAGTACTAACGATAAAATCAATTTATAGTATAAAGTGCTGAATAAAATACTATGAATAATTATTTAATTGGGAATTTCTCCAAAATATAATTATTGAGAACGCTTCAATAACCATGATTTGACTTTTTTAATGCAGGAAATTAAATTTTGAACATGTATCTTACCTGTTCCGACACCGATTGTCCCATAGAGGATTCGTACGTTGGTGGCCAATACACTAACAGCCAAACAAACACTAGCCAATATTGCTCCAGCTATTGTTACTGCTCGACAACCATACTTGTTAACAAAAATACTTGCGATTGGTCCTAAAAAATTAAGGAATATTTAATGACATTTTTTAAGTGTCACCTAAGAAATATTTTTATTAAAATATTCATTCTTTGGGCAACAAATGTTTTACCTCTGTATCTATAGACAAACCTAGCCAATTTTATACTTGAATATTTATTTTAATTGGTTTTTAAACTAAATTATACACATACACTTATTTAAGTAAGTAATAGTGATTGTCAAAATAAAACAATTTAAAAGAATTGTAATATATTTCTCTTATAAATAAGTATAAGTATTTATTTTTTAAATAATAGCTCTAAAGAAAAGTAACCAATTTAATTCTCATGTCTCAACGAATACACACAATGACAATGAGCTGTTTTCCAATTTCTATCGAGTTACAACTAAATTAAATTGAATTTCAAATGAACACGCGCGTAATGTAACAACAAATACAAATACATCAAGTAATAATCAGCATTCCTCATTTTCTCTCAACTTTAATGGGAATATATCAACTTATACGAGAATGATTAACTTAGCGAGAATTTTAGTTTACATTTAATAGTATGATAAGTTATTGATAACATTTAAAAAAATATATTATAACTGTTCATGAAATAAAACATTTTTTTCTAACCAATTATAAGCCTTACATAATATGTAATTTATATTATATCATAATGTTATTTATATAATAATAGCAAAAACTTTTTGAATTTTTTAAGCAATTCAAATTTCAATAGAAAACTGAAAGGAATATTTCTTTTTTCGAAAATTTGGAGCGTAATAATATCATATAACTTTATAGAAAATTAATTAGATTACAACAACTAGTTTTTAATTTTTACTAACATTATTAAATACCCAAGTTATTTGACAAGTTTCAAATAGCATGAAATTTCAAATTATCATTACAATATAATAATTATAGACATATGTAAAATTAGTTTTTTCATAACAGTTTTTCTAGAAAATCAATATTTTGTTATTCTATTTGTCATACTAATGAAATGATTTCATTTAAATAATATAAATATTATTTCTAACAGGGTTATTATATTTTAAACACTGCGTGTTTAAAACATTAAAAATTTCAAAATTTCCATGGGTCTTATGGGTCTTAAACTGTTTACTTAAGTTTTAAACATGTTTTTTAAAGAGGTGGTTTAAAGAGGAACGGTGTGCCGGAGTAGTCAGTAACTCGACAGTGTTTTATGTGCACTATCTCAGGTTCGAAACTCGGTCACAGGCAGCTCCGTTTGCTTAGCAAGAGATTTTTACAATAATTAGAGTCACCAAACATTTCTTCGGTGACGGGATAACAACCCATCCCGGAATATCCATGGATAAAACAATTCCTCTAAGAAAAAGGCTATAAAAGAGAGAAAAATTAATTGCTTATTATACTTTACCGTAATAAACGGAGGTTAAAATTTTATATAGGAAAAATATTTTACACGGTGTATATAGCCAACAAATAACAGTTCGTCTCACGTTTAGATATTTGTTGTATGACCTAGTGATATTTACAAGCAATTACAAAATAAATGACATATTAGCTTATTTGGCGGGTAATATTGTTATCATTATAAATTAGTCTTGAATCAAAAAACTTTAATGACACAAATAATGTGTGATCTACAACTTAATGAAACCAGACAATAGATTAGGAAAAAATCGTTATTAATAATTTTTAATGTCAATCCGAATATAATTATTCAATATTTGTTTGTGTGCATAGATTATATATGCGGTTATCTTTTTAACATGTAGCCACAAAGTCGTTTGCTGTTTTTATACAATTGACGACTTTGTGACTGCATGAAACTCATCTCATTCGTTAAAATGCGTCATAACAGAATAAACAACGATAATAATCTACAAATAAAGGCCACTATTCAACATAAATTTATGTTCATTATGAAATAAACCTTATGCCCTTATAATAATTTTTATATATTCATTTATTATTATGCTTAAATAAAGAGGAAATTAATCGCATTCTTATTGCATAGTATCGTTTATTGATGACAGTATTCAATAACTTGAAATAACAAAATATTTTAATTACTTCCTCTTCCATCATTAAACTTTCAATAAATAACCATAGTAAATTTTCAATAGTAAAACGTTATAGTTTGAGAATTCTTTCAAAAACATAGTAGAGCGATTTTGATTCAACAAAAAATAATAATAGTATAATAATAATTAATGTTCATATTACATTGAAACGTATAACAGAAGGCCGTAGAAAAAAGGACTGGAATGTTGAGTTTTCTTGATTTACGATCTACTATATTAATAAATCTTAATTACGACAAAAATGAATAACAATTGATTGCCAGTTCATTACTTAAATCAACCAATACATCGTCAAAAAATAAATACAAACATCAAGTCCTTGTTCCGAATAATAATCATTTAAAGTATAAGGGAAAGTTGTTAGTTGACATTATGAACATTTTCAATTATCCACTTTTTTTATAAAAAAAATTCTTATACTAATTAAATAAAGATGACATATTTAAATTTAATGAATTCTTAAAAAACTTGGATGTTTTTGGCATTTTTTTTACAACACGAGATATGTTAAAAGTGTTTTATATAGAAAGAAAAAAATTAACTAAAGTATAACACTCAATAAATTTCGCTATATATTTAACAACAAATCACACTTTATTCTACTTTTAATTTTATGAGAAAAAGGAAGAAAAACAATTATGTAGAACAGATGCATTTCATTAACTATTGCATTGACGCATACAATTTAACGTTAAAATGATTAAACATAGCCTACCAAGTACAGAATACTCCAAGAAAATTCTATTATTAAAAATCTAATTGCACTACAGTTACTCCATTGAATATGGACGAACCCACGTGAGCCCCGAGCTCCGCCTATGATAAACTAGAATGTTCTTTCTTAATTTATTTCTTTGTAAGTACAATAAAGTAACATACTGATATTTTATATAGGCAATGTAGCCTTCAAACAAGACACCAGTATAAAAACAAGGCATGCATTTTTTTCAAAATATTTTTTTGCATTTTAAGAGTATTTAGATTAAATTATGCAATCGTGTTAAAAAGAATAAAAGAGTTTTATCAAATAGTTTTTTAAAAATATGATAATATAATAATATAAAAAATGAACGTTTGAAAAGTGAAGTACGAGTTTTGATTGTTGGTCCCCTTAAGTGGCACCCTAGTTTTCCAATAACAATAAATAAATAATTACAAAAATATATTGTTTCAAAAATAATTCAATACTTTTCCGAAATATTATGTTTTTAGTATCATATTATTGCTAATACAGTGAAAAACTTTTTAAAATACTAAAAATATACTTTTTGAAATTTGATTAGTTTTAAAAAGCATTTAGTTCGCGTATTATTAGTAGTAATTATTAGTTGAATAAGAATAGATCACGATGGCAAAAATATGAAATAATTGAAAGAAATTATACACACATACTAATACTAGTAATGTGCAGAGTTACTATACAAGTAACAACTAAAAAGTTAATGACGCCCTCTTAGTCTATAGCGTATTGTCACCTCACCTCATAGTTCATAATCAACCTTATAATAATGAAATATAATTTCACTGCATGCCCTTGTAAACCTTGTACCATTATTTGGTGCAAAAATTTAGTAAAAAATTAAAGGCACTAATTATTCAAAACACTTTTTACACCGTCAAACAATTCTGTACAGAAAAAAAAACAAAGCAAACGAATTAAATTAATTAATTAACTGCACAAATGTTGATCTTTTTCATCATACAATACATTGATGCAAATTAGAACACTACATTGCCCGGCTTAGTACAACCAACACCACGATTTAACACTGATCTGTCGTCACATTTAGATTATTTCGATATTAAATTATTGAAGACCTAAACCTGCGTATTATATATTCATAGACTTTAAGCTCAGCTGTACTATTAAAATTTAAAATTGTGCGAAAGTGGATCTGACAAGATTAATTTTTCTACGTACGTTATAGGTTCTATGAAAGTTGGTCAATACTCTACTGCACAATTTTATTTGATGTATATAATGATAAAATATGAATCTAAGTTAATTTTATTTCAATATTTATTAATAAAGTACATCAATATTAAATAAAAACAATACATTTCATATTACAAATATCAAAAAAATATGTCATTATTATGCTTGAATTATCAATACTAACTTGAGGTAATAGTTGATTTCGCAAAAAGTTGCCTATTAAAATGCAAATAAGGTTATAAAACCATTAATGCAATGTCACTTAATTTAGCAATATTATTCATCAGACGTCCTAATAGCATGCGATTGATTAATGAAATGTAGATATATAAATACAAATACAAATTTTTAGAGGTAGCTACAAACATTTTTCACCGTAATAGTTATCAAATTTTTGTAAAGATTTTTTTTTTTTTTTAAGCTAAAATTATATTAATTTATTTTTAGGGACTCGAAAAAATGAAATAATTTTAAATCTTTAAAAACAAACAAATATGTACAATATTTAAGTTAATGCTTCAAAGTTAAGTTTAATACTGGATGAGTAAAATAAAGTCTCAAAAATCAATGAAAACGTAAAATAGTTATCCAAAAGCAAATTTTTTGTGGGGAAGATTTACCCGAAATACCGCAACCGAGCGATTGTTTTAAATTGACAGTAGTAATAGCTTTAACGACATAGAATTTGCGATCTTATAAAATATAGTTGAGTCATATCGCCCCATTACAGGCAGATCGCTGGAAAGAGATTATTGGCAGTATTAATTGAAGGGTCACTTAAATTCCGTTTTTGGAATATGGTCTTAAGAAGAGAGACGGGCAGATCATTATATAGACACATTGAGGCTAAAGACGATAAATATGATCCAAAATAATATCCACTATCGAACTATAAAAACTTTCAATATAAAAAAAATTGTTTAAATAAAGAAATAAGTTTTCAAACTTTTAAACTGAAATAATTTACAACTATTGTAAATACAGAAATTGTGTTATTGTAAATAACATAATGCTCGTCAAAGATAAATACAAATTCCCATTAAAAATGTAATTCATTCATATTTCAAGATTGCCAACTTCAACATTGTAATGTGCATTTGCAAATGTTATTTTTATACACACTCACAAATAAGTGTATGTTTATAGTACAAAAGATATTTTAATGATCTGTAAATTTAAGGATAGCAACATCATTATATATTTAAAAACACTTCAAATAGTGAGATTCGTTATACTAAATACATAAAATGCTAGTAAACAATTTATTTTGGTTTTTTAGATTAAGTTGTCTCAAGAATAAACACACTCATATAGCAAAAATATCAAAATTTATAGAATACTTAATTTAACTGAAAGTTAAAACTTATGTTGCGGCGATGGGTTATCATCAAGCATCAGTAAAACACATTTTACTTGACATAAATTTTATTGGCCAAATTATCCTTATTATTATAATTAATATTATCCTCCATATTATTCATTATCGTTCCATATTATCCTCCGTCAATAAAAACAATGTAAATTAAACTTTTAACCAAGAATAACAATTTATTTTTATAACTCAAAATTAAATAATTTATAATTATTTTTCTTTGAACAAATAATTGAATTTATATATTTTTAGTTAATATAATTAATACCAAAATTAGTACACATATTCGTGACTATTATCTAAAGACTAATACGTCAATTTTATGAATTTTCCAAGAGAAAAAAAGTAATTTATAATTTCAATGGCAATTATAGCAAATTAATATTTTTGAATAACAAAGAATAAACCTTCCCGATAAAATTAAGATTTTTTTTCCAGTACACGGTAGAAAACGTTATTTTTAAAAATTTTCATAAATAATTTCAAAATTCCATTATTGAGTTATATTATCTTTTGGAAAAAATATTTTATTTTTAGGTTTTAAATGCAAAGTATTAATACAAATTTGTTTTATTTATGATATTGTTCATTTTTAGTAAACAAAACTACAAATTGACTAATATTTGAAATATGATATGAGTGTTCACGAGTAGACGTAGTAGAATTAATTCTTAATGTACATAGTACATACTCAAGATAATTTTTCTTATTTAAAAGTTAGCTAAGATGCCTAGAGAGGAGTCAAAAGGAGGTGCTATTCCATTTCGTGGAATATTAGGTGTCACTAACAAAAAACTAACGCAAATCATACAATCCTACATACAAATTATTTAATTTGAATTTGAGTAATTGTCAATGTATAATAGATCCTGCGGCAACATGTATGAGTTACAATGTTTAATAATGATAACATGGTTTCTGAAATACATATCCGTGATTTTTTGATAATTATTTCGTGACTCCGAGTTAAATATTTTTAATACTTTTTTAGTTTTAAATTAATATTATTAATAATAAAGATGTTAATATTCTAATAAGGGGGTGTTTTTTAATATGAATATTGTTTGTATTATGCTATAACTATTGGTGAAGTAGGTGAGCATATAAAATGATTTTTCGACATGATGGTTAGACAAATTATTTAAATTAAAATAGAAATTTACAATGTATATATTTTTTTGTTTATAATTCTTTTAAAATACTATGTTTAATAAAAAAATTAGGTTGTCACGTCAATTTCGAATGGGGGATCACGCCTTTATAAATTATAGGGGATGGGGAATTACTTCCATATCTTAAACTGTTGTCAATAATTCTTGCATCCCCCGAAAATTATCCAGAATATTTCTAAAAATAAGCAACACAAAATAATAATTATTGAAATTTGTTTTCAATAAATATACTCGCTCAATAACATAAAGATTTTTTCATGGTCTTATCTGTTCCCTCGGTAGATCAATAACAAACGGAGTATCTTTCATTACTAACATATAAGTTGTTAATGTAAAAAATAATAAAACACCTAATATCACAATTATTTAAATAGTTGACATCGTTATCAAAATTTTACCACAATTATGATAACTATGAGAACAATTTATACATATATATGACTCTATGAGTCATCATATATTTTTATAATTAAAAACTCCACTCATGGCATAATATTTAGCATAACAGTTTTTTTAGCACACATCAATTTCCTTTTTTTTTTTTTGTGATTATTTTAATTTCTGAATCTAGTTTATATATTAAAACACTATTGTTCGATGAGCAAAAATATACTTTAATATCTAAACTCTATATCCTTAGAAATCAACTAACTAATCAAAACGTAACTACTTCAATAAAAATAAAGATTGTTGGATTGTGGTTAAATTTGTTATCGCAAGTAGTTTACTATCATGATGAAAAATATCACCCAACTATTTAACATTTATAAAATAAAAGAATAAAAAAATTCCTTTGATCTTTTACTAGTACACATAAAGTACACCATAAACAGACTAGGGCGTAATAAGAGACTGAATAAGCAAAATAAATAAAAGGACACATTACACTTATTACACACAAAATTATCATTTTTGACGATAACTCACACAATTTGCAATTGTGCTAAACAACTGAACAAATATCAGGGAACTTGTGCGCAAAATTAAAATACAACTAGTTTTATACGCATTTCATGTTGGGTATGAATTCGATATGTATTATATAATACCATTTAAATAGCTAGTTCAAATTAATCCGCTATTTATTTTTATTCCAATGTGTCATCTAAGAATTCTGAGTAACCTGAACAAATAAATATATATTGCTACAGTGATTGAACTCGACTATAGATTCATAGAGTTCATTTTTTATCTATACATTTTTTGTACAAAACTAAATCATTTTTTTTATGAGAATAATTCCTTATTTGAAATGTGATGCAATATGATTATCAAAATCTATGGAATTCTTATCAACTAGTCTTTAATATTACCTTAAATACAATTACTTTACAATAGTACAAAATTAAACTATAAACTTAATTTATTTTAACAGATATTTACCTGAACACAACGTGATGCCGACTAGAAGAGACACTATCCATGCGGTGGCTGCTTGGCTTTCATTGAACACCTTAACGAGTTCCTTATGTATTTCACCAAAAGAATAAGTCACACCATCGGCTACAATAAAATGAAAACTCAATTTAAAAAATTATTCATTGTTAATCAAACTTTTTTTTTTTACTTTTAAAGAAAAATAAAAAAAAGAAGTATTAAATCACTCAATTTTTATAACTAAATAAACAAGATATTTTTTTTGTACAATCATTTTTATAAAAGCTTAGTATTAACAACATAACTTTTACAATCATCAAACAATACACAAAATGTGAAATTTCAAAAAGTAAATATAATTAAAAAAAAAAACACTATGATCAGTATTGCGGTTTTATTACATTTCGAGTTGGATCATTTAACTTCAAAGAAACACGAAGCTCTTAAGTAAGTCGAACATGAAAATCGATTTAATAACATTGCCTTGACCTTGTTTGACTGCCTTTATATTTAAGTATAAAGTTTTTTAAATTCTAAATCTATTTAATGCAACTAACTTTCCCCCTAAAATTAATAAAAATATATAGTGATTATATTACTATGTATAACTACATATATGATACAAGTAGAATGCATATTAGTTGTAAAAATATAAATTTTAAATGAAAATTGAAAATGTTAAAAAAAATTACACTTTGTACAAAAAAATCAACAGTTATGATTTTTATTATTATCTTTTTAGATATAAAAATAAATATTTATTAATAAAAAAGACCAATCGAATATTGATATTTCAGATAGTTCATTGTTTTTAGTACATAATTATTCGTTTAAAATATTAACACATTTATCATCATACCAGCTATTTGTGCTCGGAATTACCTTAAAAATATTTCGAACAATTGAATTTATAATCTACAATTATAATAAATTAATACATCACTCTTCAAACCATAGTATTAGTACTATAATTAAATTTCTTTGAATTATAGACTTGGGTGCATGTTGAAAAAAAGTTTATTTATCCGCGTTCGGTTCATTTCGTCTTTTTATATGAAGGTGATTTTATAAGTTTTTTTTTTACATTATTTTGTTATCCGGTTGAAATACGATTGATTTATATGAAATAATTTTATAATATATAGCATTTATGTTGAATTTCGTAAATCTAAAGTGTATGCAAGATTCCAGCTCGATACAAAGTGGCTCAAAACTGAGTTCAAAGATTTATAGCAAAAGAAAGGAGAACAGAAAACAAGACATACTAAGTAAATTAAAAGCTCAAAGAAATATAAGTAACTAGAAAAAGTTGTTAATTTTTAAAATTAGCGTCCAAACTTTAAAAATCAACAAATTAATAAGTTATAAGTCGTATAACTCATCTCTTTGTTTGATAAATTGATTTTAGAATTTTTGGAAATTATTTTGTGAATATATGATCAGACACATTATTAAAAATTAAAAAAAAAAAGTAAATCAAACTAAATTTTACAGAATTTTACGAAAATTAAAAAGCTTGGCGACAAACCACACAAATAGGACTGTACATTACGTGTATTTTATATATAAAATTACGCTGGCGTAGCGTTCTCTTAACGAATTGAATACCATTAACTACTTAACCGAAATTTTTTACTGCTACTGAAATTGTAAGATAACCTTGAAGAAGTACTTAAATTAATATACATTTCTTATTATACTATCTGACGAGCATTGTTATTTTTAATTGAAAAAAGCCGAATATAGTGGACCGCAATTGGATGGTCGTAAGTAAAAAGGGAGTAGATCAACTTTAGATATACTAAGAGAATATAAAAAACGCTCAGGTTACTAGTTAAGATTTCAATTACCCACAGATATGTTATGTAAATAATTAAATAATTGAAATATTCCAACAAATTAAATAATTAACCAAATTAATATGTTTATAATATAACTAAATTACCCATAAGCTTTAAATATCAGTTTAAAAAAACAAAAATAAAAGATGATATAAAATTGTCGAAGCTATTATAACGAAGCCATTGGATGATGCCTACAAAAATAATTATATGTAAATGTAATATATTATATATTTAAAAAAAAAAAAGCGAATCAAAACTAAAACGTCCTCAAATTTACCATTCAACTTTTATAACTATTCTATATACTCAGGCAGCAAATATTCATACAAACTTCCTTCGATTAAAACCATCAACGAATATTATCTCTCTTTTTTCTAAAGAAACAAAAAAAAGCCTAATTTTTTAATTATTGAGATTTATTATAAAATCACTTATAATCATACACTAAGCATATAATTATCACATAATGCAAAAAAACTGTTTAGTTAAAACTCTAAACGATATTAATTTATTTATATAAGTACTTTGATAGTGAAGAATATGTATAAATCAATACTATCTAATCAAACTATTAATGATCAATAACGTACACTTTATATAAAAAGTATGCATTAAGTTTATTAAACAAATAACATTTATTAACAATAATTTATTCAATAGTCAATTTCTATCAAAATTACGTTTTTAATGCTATTATGTTTTGTACAAAAAATATGCAATTTTTTATAAATTTATTTTCCTAAACATTAGTTTTTTTTAACTTGAAATTTTTAATTAATTATGAGTAAATTATATAGAATTGATTGATGAAAAATTATATAAAATAATTAAATGAATTTGTTATTAATTTATGCATAATTTGAAATCTTATTTGGAACAAATGAAATATAAAACAAATAAACATTGAAGTTTATGAATTATAACATTTTAATTATTAGCATGGGGAGCGACACAAGTTCGTTGTTTGTAGTACCAAGGCTAACAGCTACTTAGTAATTTCATTATCTATACTATAAGATAATAAATAAATTTAATGAAATGAACGTATGGTCGAATCAATAGTATTTATTTAAACTTTACGGAATAACATACATTATTGTTTAAAAAATTAACATACATAAAACCTACGTAGTATATAAAAAATTTTAATGAACAATGCCGGGTATTTACATTCATCTTAATTTCATAAGTAATTTAAAATGGTTAAGTAGAAAATTGCAAAATTATGCGAAAAGTTTTTAAAGTAAAATATTATTGCTGTAAAAAATAATAATAACTAAAATACAAAAAAAAACTAAGTTTTTTTTGTTTTAAAATTTACGATGAATGAACACAAAAAATAAAAATAGCTCATTGTTATTCGTTTCAAAAATCTCATATACACAATTGAAAAAAACATCTGCTTTACATTACTCGCGCGTTACACAAATGTAAATTGGATTTGTTCAATAAACAGGCCATCTATACTATCACAGCTGATAATTGTCACATGATACTAACACTCGATTAAATAACCATCTCAGAATATACTTATAACTTCAAACATTTTAATGATAAGTATTTTCTACTTTACAGCAAATTTGACAAATATATATTTATTGTTGATCGCAAAAATAAAAATGTTGAGAATTTTTTTCGGCTGATTTAAGTGGAATTTATTTCTTGAGTTTTATATATATATATATAAGTAACACACATAATATCTTTATTATTAGAAAAAACTGATCGATAACACTTTTGAACCATTATATCGGAAGTTATTCATATTTTTAAATGTAGACTGGAGTCGTAGTGTGATTTACGTAATTTTTATCAAAAGACATTTCTCAACCATACTCCTGCTGCACAGGTATAAAAGTGTTAACAAATAATGGTTCAAAATTGTTATCGACCAGTTATTTACTTGATAATGTATGAACTTAACATGTAGTTGATAGATAATTGGTAAATCGAAAACTAAATAGTACATAGCAAAAAAAAAAATTAAAATTAATTTTGGGAAAATTATAGAAATTAACGATAAATCAATCAACCATTATATAATATATGAATTTTTTTTCTGAGTCTAGGTCACTATTTGAATTTAGAAAATTTGTATAACTTCCAAAATTAAGTTTGTTGATTGATTTTATCACAGATCATGTATCTATAAGGTGATTCTATCATTATTTCATCACTTGATTGCGAATACTAAAAATATATTTTAGAATATTATTTTTATTTTGATAGTAATAAAGAATTTATTGATTTTACCGATATAAGGTATTTAGTTCATACATTATTTTCTTAATTGGAAACATATTGTTAACTATTTATACAAGAAAATTATTAGATAATAACAACTTTTGAATCAATACTTCAGTTATAAATATTTGTTAAATACGGACAGCTCACTTCACCACCAAATTGTAGAAAAGTACAGCTAAAAATTGTCAAAGTATCTAAATAGTTAAAGGCTGTCTAGTCTATGTCAGAAATATTAATAAAATTCATAATATTAGTTTATTTATCAGTCATTTTTTTTAATTTGATAATTTTTTAATATGTATGCTATTATACATATGTACAACTTAATTTTGTTTAAATGATACCCTTATTTTAAGCACAGATGGAGGTCATAAAAATACTAAATAAGTAATTGAATAGTTTATGATAAATAAATTATCCAATATATTTACAAATATCAAACACTTTCATTAATTATTACTACATTCTTATAAGAAAATAAAAAATAATTTATTTAATAGATTATTATTATGCAAAAAAGTGGGATAAAAGTACACAGATTAGTGTATTGAGAAAGATCAGATACAACAAATATGTCACCTATCCGCAAGAATAGTGACATAACTTAGAAAAAACAAAGTTTCATGTGAGGTAAAATAAAATAGACAAATCTAAACTATTTAATTTTTAATTAATTTTTTGCAATAGTCTCTAGTAAAAATTATTGAAGCAAAAAGAGTGAAACTTTCCTGGCTTAAAATTATTTTATTCGTATTATTGCAAATAACTGAAAAATATTGAGTTGTATCATTTTTCTTGGTGAAAGTTGATATGTCGTAGGTATCATATATTATTTGCCCATTTAACAAAGGAATTAATAAAGATGAATACAACAAATGTTTTTATAAGATAATACTTATTAATATTATAATATTTAAAAAAAATTGTGAACATTCTTATTTTTTTAAGTATTAATTTATAAAAAAATATAAAATTTACAACTATTCAGTAAATTTTCGAAAAATACATCCCACAATCAATTTTTCCACTCATATCACACTAGGTACATACTTTTTAATAAAAAAAAGTTTTTTTTTTTACTATGGATAATCAATTTTTATTTTATTATTTTTAAGTTGCTATCACAACCTAATCTATAGATTTAATTAGAATTTTTGATAATTTTACTAGTTAAATTATTTTAATATAAATATATATTGATGGTTCAGTGGAAAAAATATTTATATCATTTTTGACAAAATAAATTAGTTGTGTAAAATCTATTACTCTTAGAAAAAATTATTATTGTGTATAAATTTAGAAAGAAAAACTCTTTATTAGAACTACTAGATCTCATCAAGGTAATGTTACAATAAAGATAATAATAGAAACATTTTTAACTACTCTCCTGTAAATGACACAAAATTGCACTTTACTCTTTATTGCACTAAGCCATAAATAAACATAATCCAAAAATATTATTTTACATTACAGAGACCAACAAATAATAATGAAAATTGTACAAGCCTTCATTCGATATCTGTAAAGTTTTTATTGACTAAATTATCTTATTATACATATATTAAAATACAACTAATTATTTATCATACATAGTGAATCATTAAAAAGAAAAAACATTGCAAAGGTAGATATTGATCAGGAATTTAATAGTGTTTTATATTTGATATATATTAAAAAACAATATTTGTGGCCCCTACTGCAATAATGTGTATCATAATATTTGACAAAATTATATTTTTATAAATAATGATATAATAAGGACCACATCTAGAGGAAAATTGGGTGCGTATGTCCTAGGTGATATGTTTTAAGGGTGGCACTAAAAAAAATACTAACCAGTAATATGATTTACAGAGGTGAGGACATATTTTTTTCTCATTCAAATTACAAAAAAATTTATGTTATCTAATTAAAATCACGTCTTGCATTGAATTATATATGATTCATAAGCCTACAAAAACTGAGATACTTACTGTTGCAGTATTAACAATGTTTTTATACATAAAAGAATTAAGAGCCAGTAGAATTGTAAACAAATTTTATTTTTAATTATTTTTTTAGTCAAAAATAATATTACTATATTTAATGCCAGTGGAATTAAATACTTGGTCCAAAAAATAAAATATGAGACTAATGCCTATTCTCCCAGAGTAAAAATAGAAAAAAATTCTATAAATATATTTATAAACTCATGACACAATTGCACTCGGTTTCAACTGGAACTATATTAATAAAAATAATGTTGACTTACATATAAAAAGTATTTATTTTGTTCATTTAACTTTAGATTATGGTAGATTAATAGCCAATAAAAATACCTAACTAGTGTTTTAAGATACATTGGATAAATTCCAAGTTTTAGATTGTTTGTTAGTTAACAGATCATTGTTCACAGTTGTCAATTTTAAAGTTTGATTGACAAAATCTTGAAAGTGTTGTCCTATATGTTTCGAGTTGTTATTATTTACAAATTTCTTTATGCTAGTATAAATTGTTTTATTTAAAGTAACCTTAAAAATTTGAATTATTATAAATAATTTTCTCTATAAATTTATAATTACAAAACACACATCAAAATTAAATAAAAAAAACGTAGCTAATATTACACAATTATACTTCGTTGAGTTTATTTTTAAATTGGATTTATTGAAAAATTGATGTTAGACATTTCGTAGATAACAACACAGTACATTATACACATCAAACAACAGTGGCAAGGCGCCAAAATATTTAGTAGATGATTTTTATATAAATAATTGAACTGAGGAAATGCAAACGAAAATAGAAATAAAAAAAAAAAAATACATTTATACACAATTTCGTACTTACTGACTATATGTATCATGAAAGACCCAAATACGACAAACCAACCCCATCCACCGTCTGGTGGTCCTTTAGACACTGTAGGCGGTTTTTCAGAAGTTTTCTTCGGCATATTTTATTGAAGCCACGCCGTTTTTCAGAGAAACTAAGCAAAACAACAAAAACCAATACTGGCCGTTGGACTCTTACAAAAGGGCCAAATTCTCAGTTAACAGGTAAATGTTTACCGGCAGTGATTATCTACAATATTATTTACAAAGAAAACAACAAACAAACGATTTTTTTTTGTAAAATGAGTACATTTATATCATTTTAAAACTTATAAACTGAAAAAAGTAAATCTTAAAATACTAATTCATCAACTATACTAAAAGTAAAATTAATTTAAAAAATGTACAATGTAACTTGGACGTATCGTGCATGCCACCGGTCGATCATTACCTTGCACCCTACGACGGACAGCGGCACATCTCGTATACATACTAGAGATGGAGCGCTGACGGCTAGCGGCTGGTACTCTCGAAAAAACGATTTAACCTTCTTATCATTGCTTGCTTATCTCAGAGTTTCATATTTCGTGTTATCAAGGAACAACCATGTGACTACTATGATTGTTTCGATAATGCGTAACGTTGCGTTACACACTGTTGAAACGTTGCAAGCATTTCCACTAGACGATGCAAACAATATGTTATATGTCAATTATAATTAAAAAAAAATACTAATTGATTATTATTTATCTTTATTATTAAGAAAAAACTGAAAACGCATTTTAGATTATATAATATTTTAAACGATATATTAATAGATTATATAGTTATATTATTGTATTGGCTAGTTTCCATTCTAAATTTTACTTGAATGTGTTGGAATAAAGCTATCTCCAGTAAAGACTCATTTGATTATATTTCAATCAATAATATAATTATTAGAATGACTACTTTTAATCAAATACGAATTGAAGACAACATAACTTAGATTTAGACATTCAGATTTCAATGGATAAGTAGAAAAAATTATAGTACGACGATTGCCCTTGGAGTTTAACAAGTGTTATTCCGAAATTTTTCTTAGCATAAGTTGTCGGAATACTGTTTTATTTTTAACTTCTTTTAAATTAAATATATAATCTTCAAATTTTTAAAGGTACATAATTTTCTAAACATTTTCAAAAATTATGTATTAGAACCACAAAAATCAAAATGCAAACAGTTTGAAGCATATCTCTTAACAACATTTTAAATGAATGGCCCACTGCAGAAACCAGACATGTCCAAAAAATCCAAATTACTTTTATCATATTTTTAGAAACTAGAGACATAGACACATCTTTTACTGCAACAGCCAGACATCTACCATTGTTAGTATAGGAGTAAAGCCAGGTTAAAATTTACTCTTAACTGCAGATATCAGACATGTCCAGGACATGTCTGATATCTGCAGTTAACTCTATGGTTTGAGTGGCTGGTGTTTACTCTTTGTACTGCCAACTCAGTGTATGATAGCACCTGAAAAAACGTACCCAACAGCTGATTTTGTTTTTATTTTTATTTTATTTGGACCTCGCTTCCCCGTTTCCAACATCACTGTGCGTAGTCTGTTTACTTGTTGTCAACTATTAACCTACATCTCATTTCACTGCGTAATTTATTCAGTAAGATTAGTAATTTAGAAGGTGATGTTGATAATGAATCTCGTAAAAGAAAGAAAGGGGTTTTGAATACAGAATGCTATAAAAGGAATATTATAAAAACAGCAAAAGTTAAAGGTGATGAACATGTTAACTGGGCTGGAAGAAATATTCAAGCAAAGCAACCTAGCACAACAAATTGCGGGTAAGACATTTTTTATTTTATATATAGGCCTACTAAAATAACACTTAGAACAAGCATGTTTTTTTAACAAGAACATTGTAAAAACATTATTAATTCAGCTTTTTAGAGAAAACTGAAGTGTTTTAACCAATAGCCTAGCCAAGTTTTTATTCCAACCTAATCTAATTGAACTAACCCAACATAACCTAACACAGCATGCTTTACATCAAACCAATATAAATAGTTTATTATGTGTAGGATCATGATCCTGAATTGTACATGGGCCCTTCTACTATTTTTATGTGTGAATTGTTTTTAGCTGCCGCTACAATTGCCTACAGAGTTTTACGGAGGACAATATGCTGCAAATCTTCAATCACCTCTATAGCTTTAACTCAAAGACGGAACAAGATATTTATATACAGTCGCTGATGGAATTGGAGCCAATAGCAAGACCGAGGCCAAGATCTTATGGTGAAAAGTCAAAACCAAAGGCTTTTAACGTAAAGTACTCCATTCAGCTCAAAGGGGTACGTACTGTAGTTTGTAAGAAATCATTCATGCAGACATACAGTTACTCTAAAAATCAATTAGAAAGGCTGTCACATTTGTTGCAAAAAAACAAAACCCCCGAAGATAAAAGAGGGAAAGGTCCATCTGGAAATGCAATACCTGAAAGTGAAAACTTAAAAGTCAGAGAACACATTGAAAGTTTCCCAACAAAAGTGTCTCACTACTCAAACAGTGAAAGGCGTTATTTGGCCGCCAATCTAAACCAAAGAATAATCTACGACATGTTTGTCGCTAAAGAGCGTGATTTTCTGTTAGCTATTCTTGGAAACGAGAAGCGTTTCTCTTACAAATATTTTTGTGAATATTTTAGAGTTAACAATGATTTAGGATTTGGAAGACCAGTTGTTGACGCTTGTGTTACATGCGAGGAGCTACAAACAAAAATAAAAAATCCTACACTGAATGACAATGCAAAAAAAGTTGCCGTTGCTGAGCTAATGGTTCATAAGAGAAAAGCAAAAAAGTTTTATGAGAAGGTAAAGTCTATAACCAAAACTTGTAAGGATGATCCAAAGTCTGTCGGCATATCAATTGACTTCATGGCTAATGTTTCTTTGCCATGCATTCCAGTCCAAGACATCTACTACTTTAGGCAGCTGACCGTTAATGTTTTCGGAATACATGATTTTGGCACTCAAAAAATGACAGCTTTTGTCTACCACGAAGGAAATGGTGGGAAAGGTTGTAATGATGTATGCACAATGATTAAGTGGTATATTGACAATGTGATCAAAATTGAAGTTGAAAATCTCTACATTTTTGGAGATAACTGTTCTGGACAAAACAAGAACAATACTCTTATTCGTTTCGTTATGGCTTTGACAGAAATGAAGCGGTTTAAAAAAGTAACTCTTTACTTTGCCCAAAGAGGCCATTCTTTTATGCCTAATGATAGAGATTTCGGAGTTATCAAAAGAAAACTCCGCAGAGTAGAAAGGTACTACACTGTAGATGAAGTAATTGAAGGAGTTGCTAATGCTTCCAAAGATTTTAAAAGGTTTACTGTGGTGAAAATAGAAAGTGAGGACTTTTTGGATTTCAGTTCTTGGTGGCCGAAATATTATAAAAGAAGGACCTTGAGTGTGGATTCGCTTGGGAAAAACGTACCCAAAGAACAAAAGAGATCATTTCAAATCTCTAAGTATCATGAGATGAGTGTTGAAAGTGAACATCATGAGCGATTGGTGTGTAGTACCAACATCACTGGTCTGACCCGCGATGTTTTTTGCCTAAGAAATTTGAACAAACCAATGGTACTCCCTGAAGAGAAAGCGTACAATGAGAAGAAGCCCATCAATGAAAAGAAAATGGAGGACTTAAAAAAGACCAAACCCTACATCCCCAATAATAAGAAGGGTTTTTGGGATGAAATATTTCAGTGGCCGACTGTGAGTAACGTTGCGGATGAAGAAATTGACTAAGGACTTGCTTTTGTACTGTTATATTTAATTTTTTTCAATATTTCTATTCTTATAATGCACAGCACATGTTTTAAAATAATTGTAACTATACAAAATTGAGTCAAATAAATTATTAAAAACTTTTTCAGGCATTTTAAGTATTTTTTTTACAATTTTACCACAAAAAACAGACATGTCCACGAAACAAATACTAAAAAAACTCAATTAATTAAACATGTAAAATTTTAATTGTTTTACATGATCAAACATTAACCAGCAAGCTATGTATCTTGATTAATTTTTTTATAAAAAAAAATAAGCTCAACGATAAAATTAGTTATTTGCTTCTCCTGAAAAGTTTGATTTTTGGACATGTCTGGTTTCTGCAGTGAGCCATTCAAATACACTCCACGTCCCTTAATTAAGAACTCTGGACTTGTCATTAGCAATGAAACACGTTTGCAGGAGAATCACGCGAGGGACGTATCTATTGGCTTTATGCTAGGCTAATTATTATAATCATTATCTTTTATTCCTTTATTTAAATTATACAATCTATTCAATAATACATAAATAATAAAATAATTATAGAAGTAATAATATGATGTTTAAAATTATTATTTCGAGAAGAGAAGACATTCACTGACGACACTCTTATTAAATTGACTCTTTTTGTAGTTAAATTATTACTATTATAATTTTACTAGAAAATCTCTGCACTACTTTCTTTTAATCCTCTTTAATCATTGTCTATTATAAATTATGTAAGAGCAATACACAATTCAAGGTCAATTTATTTTTCCAGTATTGCCCCAGAGTAAGCAATTTATTTTGTTTTTTATGCATAAAAATTAAATAAATATAATTTTACAGAACGCAATACGAAATTTTATAGGATTAACTTAAATTAAGTTAATTTACTTTAGTTTCAACTCAAGAAATCTATTGTTATAGATTCACTCCATGAAATTCAACTACAATTTCAAATGACTCAGTACTATAACAATATAGTATTGTACTCTAGATTTTTCAAAGAGAGAATTAAATATGAAAACACATTTTAATAACTATATCAATAAAAGAATCAATTCTTAATTTCCATATCCTACGCCTTGGCACAACCTTAACATAAGTTAGGACAAAAATAAGACTAGAAATTTTTAGACATTATCCCTTAAACTAACCTTATTCTAGACATACACGGGCATATTAGGTTCCCTCTATTAACTAATTTTCATTTGTTTAAATAAAAACTTGTAGGTTATACTTTTCACAATAGAAAAAAATGATCTGGACCTTGCAAAAACTAATGCACAATCAAAAAGTGAGGTTTAAATGTGTGTTCAAAGAAACGTTTTTCTTCCAAATGATGTACTTAAATATATGTATGCCGCCAATTAAATTTCATAATAACGGAAGATTAAAATTATAGTTAATAGCTCGTCTGTTATTGTCAAACTTGATTATTGAATAATTTAGGTGATTTACAATTGAATTACTGGGTTAAAAATTTACGCGAATTTCGATACATCATGTAAGGTGACATTATATCATCTGTACCTCTGATTTGTCTCATATAAAATTATTAGTGGTTAAAAATATGATTAAGTGTTAACTAAACATAACAAATATGGACTTCAAACCTAACCAAACAATATATAATTATTCTTACGATATTTATTTTATCAATAATAGACAGTACCTATTAGAATTTAATTTTATTGTAATAAAATTATTTTAATTGTTCGTAGTAAATGTACTCATGATCAGCTTAATTTGATTTAAAAAATGCGATTTTCAACTGATATAATAAAAAACCCAGAACAGGGAGGTCACGGCACAGTGGGGATGTGGCATCAAGTATAATGATTAAAGATTTAATCGTTGGGTCAAGTATAATGATATCTGACAGTGATTAAAATCACTATCATAAAAAACGCTTCGATGCAAATCTGTAGATTGTGTTTAATTTAAAAAAAAATTGGTGGATTATTCCAGAAGCTACATGATCTCCTATTTCCTTATTTATATCCTGATTATAAGTTTTATGATTTATAAGTATAATATATTTATAATATATAAATATATAAAGGGAAATGGTGTTATTTAAAAAACGGTGTGCTTCCTTTGACGTTATTGACGATGGCGTCAAGTTTCACATGTAGAGCAGAAATGTTCTGAAAATAACAAACCCGATTATTTAAAAAACCCATCCTTGATTTATAAAAAAACCCAGCACAGGGGGGTCGCGGCACAGTTGTGACGTGGTATAGTTGGATCAAGTATAATGATATCTGACAGTGATTAAAATCACTATCAAAAATAAACGCTTCGATGCAAATCTTTAGATAGTGTTTAATTTTAAAAAAATTGGTGTTTTATTCCAAAAGCTACTTGATCTGCTGGTTCCTTA